TGTGTGTGTGTGTGTGAGTGTGTGTGTCCACTGCCTTTGTGCTGAGTTTAGGAAATGTGTGCCTGCGCATGTGCCCACCGCCTTTGTGCTGAGTTTAGGAAATGTGTGTGTCTGTGTGTGCGTCTGTGTGTGTTCACCGCCTTTGTGCTGAGTTTAGGAAATGCTCCTGCCGTTAAATTGCATGAGACATCAACATGGAAGGATGTCCATGGTGTACCGTTGGTTGAAAACCACAAGTCGCTTTGAAACACTCACCTATTGTACGGCCTCATCTCTGTTTTCAGAATTGATGCACATGTCTGGAGGGGTGTGTGTCCACAGGTGTGTGTAATATGGTACCCCATGGGGAGGGAGGATAGGCATTGGTTAAGAGCTTGCACTTAGATTTGGGCTCTGTCACTTACTCTGTCAGTTTCTTCATCTGTGGGTTGGAGATGAGAAGGATGCACGTGGCTGGGAAGATGAAAGGCCACAGTGCCTGGAAACACCCTGCACAGTACCTCGTGTTGTCTTCCTGTGTGTTGGATGCCTGCTAAGTGTGGAAGGAAGAGAAGTGGGGAGGGGACATTTCAATCCCTTTTACTCTTCTGTACTGCTTGAAAATGTGTCAGCAACCATGTGTGACACGTATACCATAGATTGTGTTAGTTCCCTAGCACTGTCATAAATGACCACAAACCAGGGGGCTGACAACAGCAAAAATTGAGTCTCTCACAGTTCTGGAGGCCAAAAGTTTGCAATAAGGCGTCAGCCGGGCAGTGCTGCCTCCAAACTCCGGGGGAGGATCCTTCCCCGCTTCTTCCAGCTGCTGGTGGCTCCGGGCGTTCCTTGCCCAGTGGGCCCATCACTGCAGTCTCTGCCTCTGTGTTCCCATGGCCATCTCTCTCTTCTTCTTACGGAGACATGAGTCATTGGATTTAGGGGCCACCCTAAGTCCAAGGTGATTGTATCTTGAAACCCTTAGCTTATTATATTTGCAACGACCCTATTTCAAGCAAGGCCACATGCTGAGCTTCTGGATGGGTGTGACTTTGTTGGGGGTGGGGCACTACTTACCCGACTGCATATATTAAAACCTGCAGCTGAAATCTGCAGGCTCCTCCCCAGTTCTAGAGAACGGGAATTGCGGTCAGCTCCTCCTTCTCCCGCAGAGGAGCCTGCCTTGTGCCTGACACTTTGGCTCTCGCTCGTTCATTTCTGCTGCTGCCACTCCTGTATCATTCATCCATCCCCTCCTTCACCCAGAAGGCGGCATCCTTCCAAGTTCAGAGTCAGGCTGAGGTGCCAGGCCCAGTGCTGCTGAGCACCTTGGACAAGTCAGTCAAGTCTGAGAGTCTTGGTTTCCTCCTCTGTAAAATGGAGTCCATCCTAGTACCCACCATACAAGACTATTGTTAGATCAAAGACGACAGTGTCTGTTAGGCCCTTCGCACAATGCCTGGCATAGAGCAGGCACGCAATAGATACTTATAGCTGCCATTTTTTCAAAAACCTTATGGGCTGGGCGTGGTGGCTCATGCCTGTAATCCCAGCACTTTGGGAGGCCGAGGTGGGTGGATCACTTGAGGTCAGGAGTTCAAGACTGGCCTGGCCAACATGGTAAAACCCCATTTCTACTAAAAATACAAAAAAATTAGCCAGGCATGGTGGCAGATACCTGTAAGCCCAGCTACTCAGGAGGCTGAGGCAGGAGAATCACTTGAACCCGGGAGGTGGAGGTTGCTGTGAGCCAAGATTGTGCCATTGCACTCCAGCCTGGGTGACAAGAATGAGACTCCAAGTCAAAAAAAAAAAAAAAAAAAAAAGCCTCATAAAGATTTTTTCCATTTTATTATGAAAACTCAAACATAGAACAGTTAAAAGACTTATATGATAGACACACATATTCCCACCACCCAGGCTCTACTGTTTACGTTTGGCTGCCTTTGCTTTGTCGTCTGTCTGTCCATGCCTGTCTGTCTATGCCTCCATCTGTTCTTTTTTTTTTTTTTTTTTTTTTGAGATGGAGTCTTGCTCTGTCACCCAGGCTGGAGTGCAGTGGTGCAATCTTGGCTTGCTGCAGCCTCCGCCTCCCAGGTTCAAGTGATTCTCCTGCCTCAGCATCCCAAGTAGGTGGGATTACAGGCACATGCCACCGCATCTGGCTAATTTTGGCATTTTTAATAGAGATGGGGTTTCACCATTGTTGGTCAGGCTGGTCTCGAACTCCTGACCTCAAGTGATCTGCCCGCTTTGGCCTCCCAAGGTGTTGGGATTACAGGCGTGAGCCACTGTTCCTGGCCTAACACATCCATGTTGTTTCTTGATGCACTTCACAGTAAGTGGTGGACATCCGCTTGTGCGTGTCATTGACTAGAGTTCAGTGTTAAAAACAGAGGGAATTATAATGACATCTGACTCGAGGCAGGGGAGAGGCACCCAGGCAGGTGGACCTGGCTGAAGTTGGAAGAGAAGGTTCCCTTTCCCTGCTGCTTCTGAGTCTGGAAACTTCTGGGACCATGTCTGGGTAACTTTAGGGTGGGGCCTGCCATCCCCCAGGGCAGGCCGGGCTGCTGCAGGCCAGTCTTCCCCAACTGGCCCCCAGCTGGTGCCCTCAAACATTGTTGAGGCTGCATTGTTGTTGTTATTTTTATTTATTTATTTATTTTTTTGAGATAGAGTCTTACTCCATCACCCAGGCTGGAGTGCAGTAGCACGATATCGGCTTACTGCAACCTCCGCTTCCTGAGTTCAAGTGATTCTCCTGCCTCAGCCTCCCCAGTAGCACACCGCCATGCCTGGCTAATTTTTGTATTTTTAGTAGATACAGGGTTTCACCGTATTGGCCAGGCTGGTCTTGAGCTCCTGATCTCAGGTGATCCACCTGCCTCAGCCTCCCAAAGTGCTGAAATTACAGACATGAGCCACTGTGCTCGGCCGAGATTGCATTGTTGTTGAGGGTGCATTGTTGAGGCTGCATTATTGTTGAGGCTGCATTGCTGAAGATGCATTGTTGTTCAGGGTGCATTGTTATTGAGGCTGCATTGTTGTTGAGGTTGCATTGTTATTGAGACTGCATTGTTGAGGCTGCATTGTTGAGGGTGCATTGTTATTGAGGCTGCATTGTTGTTGAGGGTGCATTGTTGAGGGTGCATTGTTGTTGAGGGTGCATTGTTGAGGTTGCATTATTGCTGAGGGTGCATTGTTGTTGAGGGTGCATTGTTGAGGTTGCATTATTGCTGAGGGTGCATTGTTATGTTGGCTGCAGATGGGGCGGGGCCTGTGACGGGCAGTGACCCAGCCTCTCTCCCCTCATTCTTCCACAGCTGGAGCCAGATGGACTGCTGGTGTGGGTCCTGGCAGGCGCCCTGGGGCTCAGCCTCGTCTTCTCCCTGGTCTCAGTCCCATTGCAGTGCTTCCAGCTCAGCAGAGTCTACGGCATTTGCCTGCTCCTCTTCTACCTGAACTTCCTTGTCGTGGCCCTCCTCACTGAATTTGGAGTGATTCGCCTGAAAAGCACGTGACTGAAGCTGCTTAGTGCTATGGCCTCACTGCAGGCAGGAGCCCCGCCCCTCCTGCTGGGGGAGGCCCAGGGACTGGAGCATTTCTGCAAGGCCCCTGTGGGCACGAGAACGTGTCCCTTGCTGCTGGAGATCTGAGGTCACTGCTGTGAGCTGAGAGAACTGCTCTGTACTTTTTTTTTTTTCCTGAGACGGAGTCTTGCTCTGTTGCCCAGGCTGGAGTACAGTGGTGTGATCTCAGCTCACTGCAAGCTCCGCCTCCCAGGTTCACGCCATTCTCCTGCCTTAGCCTCCCAAGTAGCTGGGACTACAGGCGCCCCCCACCATGCCTGGCTATTTTGTATTTTTAGTAGAGATGGGGTTTCACCGTGTTAGCCAGGACAGTCTTGATCTCCTGACCTCGTGATCCACCCACCTCGGCTTCCCAAAGTGCTGGGATTACAGGCATGAGCCACAGCGCCCGGCCTGCTCTGTACCTCTTGCTGCCAGCATCTAACAGTCTTGCCGTGGGGACCTTGGAAACTGGGCTTTGCTCTGGACAAAGGGTTCCAGAGAGAAGCTAGAAGGCCCCCTTGAATGACCCCCAGAACCCCTCTGAGAAGGTCTGGAGTTTGGGGGAAGGGGACAGCTGGGTGTGTTCCAGGCCATGCTGGAGGTACCCCTGAGACACAAGCGCTGCCCATTCCCCTTGCCTGGGCTTCAGGCCTTCTGGCACCTTCTCAGGGCACAAGTGGCTGCCCAACCCTGACTCAGAGAACAAGGGTGGCTTGGACCCCTGGGAATCAGGCCGCCAAGGGCTGAGCTTCAGAGCTGCACCATCTGCCAGAAACAGAATTCGAGACATATTTAATTTTGAATTTCTCCTTGCCACGTTAATAAAGCCAAAAGCAGCGGGTGCCATTCATGGCAATACACTTCACTGAACCCACTTGCTCCCCAAACGACGTCAACCCGAGGCACTGCTACGCCAGCAGCTGCCACATGGGATGGCGGCTCAGGCACTCCCTCCAGGATTCTGCCCCTGACTGTCCACAAACTCCTTTGTTTGTGCTGGAACTTGGGCTTCTCCAGCTGCCAAGCCAGAGTCAGTAGGACCGTGCCTGTGCCTCTCTCAGGGGGGACCCTGGGTGGGGTTCCAAGGCCTGTGAGCTGGGAAAGGACAGATGAGGGGACCTCATGCCTTCTTACTGTCACGCAGTGACCCTGCCTTATGTTGCCGAAATAAGCAACTCTTAGGTTTGCCTGACTGCCTTATGCTGGTAAAGAAAAGGGATTCAACTGTCTTTTTTCCAAATAAAAAAAAAATTCAAAATTTCAAGTGTAGAGAAAATGATACCCTCAACTATCACCAGTTCTTCCTCACCTGGGGCCAGCGTTGAGTGGCTGAGCCTAGGGCCCGACTCAGGGTGGGGCTGAGGCAGGATCAGGAGTGGCCATGGCCTCGGATGGGGCCACTCTCCTGACAATACCCGAAACCACGGAAGTCAAGAGGCAGCGACCGTGTTTACAAAGCAGAGGCTCTTTTATTAATATGCCAGAAATCCAGAGACATAGTGGGTTTTCTAGGAAACAAATCACCAATGTACAAAACCGTACAGCATTGCTCCCGTGATCCGTACAAAATGATTGTCCGCATGGTGGAGTAAGGCTGGGGTTGTGGGAGGGGAAGCGAGGAGCTGGGGAGGAGCACGGTTCTATTGCCGCCACCACCAGGCTGTGCCCCTGGCTGCCAGTGAGTGTCACTTGGGTGTACTCAACTGTGACATCAAGGACGAGAGGGCATCTGAGCTAGATCACATCCCAGGGCCCACAGAGCTCACAGCCTGTGGGGGGACCCCAACTCCCTGCTTGGTGGGGCCAGGCATAACCTGGAGATAGCTGTCCCTGGCCTCAGTGACAAGGGCGCCCACCTCTGGTCTGTTAACACTGCTGCCATTAGGCATTTGTCGGGTCCTGGCCAAAACCAGGTCCTTTCTCAGGACAGGGTTGGGCGGATGGACACATTAACTTGCTCTGAACAGGGCTGAGATCCCCCTCCTCCTGGAATAGGCCTTCCCACCTGGGGGCCTCTACTCCCCTGGGCAGACCCCGGGGTGCTGCTGGCCCCTCCAGGTTTCCACCCTTGGGGAGAAAGGGCTGAGGCAAGGCCCAGATTCTCAGGTCAGAGACTCACACCTTTAGAAGCTGTCCCTTGACCCTTGCTTCCAAAATGCCCATTTCAACACACAAAAGCTAAAAGGCACCCAATTGTGCAATCAAGTTCCCTCTCTGCGAAAGGGAGGGGGTTCTGGCCTGGGGCTCGAGGTGGAGCTCCCGGTGATGGCCCATGGCCCTCCAGAGAGGAAGAGGACAAAGTCAGTCTGACTCCTGGGGGAATCACAGTGATTCTCAATAATTTGTGATTTTCCCAAAGGGCTGTGCTTTAAAAACAAACACCCACCACTTCTCCAACTCCCCTGACCTGGGAAGAGGGGAAGGGGAGAACCATGCCATGCTGGCTATGGGATCCAGCTTGGCCTTGGAGGTGAGCAGAGGTTGGGGGTCCAGGTACTGCTGCCCTGGGGTTGGGTACCACCTCGCCCGTTCTGTGGCTGGGAAAAGGACAAGGCCAGAGGGAGCCTCTGTCCACCTTCCTTCTGAAGTCACAGAAAGCAGGCACCAGAGGGCCGGGGCGGCCAGGAATGCCCGGCAGCACACTCCTTGCCCTCCGCACCCTCCGTGCTGCCACTGCAGCTCCTGCTGTGGAACCTGTGCTGTGCTCTGTTCTGTGGCTCAGGAAAGCGGAACCAAAGCAACCTCTGCACTGACCCTGCCTCTGTGGGTACCGTGGCGGGAGAGGGGGGTGGTGACGTTAACTGAGGGTTCATCTGAACCTACTTCTGCACCAACAGCTCCTGCTATTGCATTCTCTGGTGTGAGCAGAGCCAGGGAGCGTAGCTGGGAGCTGGGCCACGGCCACAGGGCTGCTGCGTCCCACAGGGAGCGTCTCCTTGTGCTGTTCGCTCCTGTTCCTAGTGCACCTGTGTGAAGGACCTGGTATCAGCTTAGCACAATCCTTAATTAATCAAAATGTTGTTTTGCTTGAATGGGTAAATCACAAAAAAGGGATTTGGTCAAGAGCCCATTCCAGGAAGTGGTCTGGGTTACAGACATCGGCCCTACCTCCTGCCTCATGCCCCTTCCTCCAGGGTCTGGGTCCCCAAGGAGGCCACTGTGGAAGGATTTTTGTCAGTAAGGGTTAAGCCAGAGAAGGCTGGGTGGGAGGCTTGCAGAGCCAAGAGAGGAGATTGGTCAGTGTAGTCTGTGGCCGCCTGGAACTGGCTAACTGAGCTCTGGCCACATGGGCACAGTCACCCCAATTCCGCTTCCCATTAGATCCCGGGCACTGGTCCCCGAAGAGTGTTGCATGACATTATCACAGAAGCTGAAACACCACCCTGGAGACCAGGAGTTCTTTCCTTCCTAAGTGGTTCTGTCCCAAAAGCAAAACCCAGAAGCCTGTGGCATGCCCGCAGGGAGAGGGGGTGGGGGTGCCATCAGGTTGGGGGCACGTGAGCCTGAAGCAGTAGCAGTGACGGCTTTGGACATGGCCGATGGAGGCCAGCCCACATGGGGGGCAAGCCCCGCAGTCGACTGGATCCAGGTGAGGGGTTTCCTTGTGAAGGGGCTTCTGGAGCCTTCCACAGTAGGAAGAGCTCAGACCTGGTGGCCACACCCCACCCCTCACCAAACTGGCTTCTAGAGTTAAGGAAAACAGGGCAAGGTGGTTATAAACTAAGCCCCATCTTGTCTGTCTTCTTTCTTCCTGTATATAAATATGTGCATATACGTGAGTATGTGTACACACACCGCAGTTCCGTACATCGCAGTAGAGTAATACTATTGTGTTATTGCATAGAAGAGATGGCTTTCGGGCACTGGGCTAGGTAACAGTCTGGGAGCGCTGGCGGCTGCTGGGGGGCTGCTGGGTGGCGGGCATTGCACTGCTGCTGAGCTGTCGCTGCTGCTCCTGCTCCCTGGCATGCTCCTCGTACCACTCCTGGAGAAGAGAGCAGAGGGGGCGCTGAGGGCTGCACCCCACCCCGTGCCCCGCCCACCCCACAAGGTCACACAGCCCACAGCATCCAGGCTGGAGGGGGCAGGGCTGCCAGCCTCACCCATCTGGTACTGAAACTCCCCTGTCACAGGCCCAGAAATGCTGGGAATTTTGAATATGGCCCCAGAGGCAAAAATGACAATGAAATCTTTCCCTAGTGTCTGGAGGCTTGCACACAGCAACTCTCCAACAAGTCCAAGCAGGAACAACCCTTGCCCCTTGTTTGTGAGCATAACCCTTCACTAAAGGGTCCCCCTGAGGGACCCCTTTTGAGCTTGGCAGGAATTGTGTCCATTTCACAGCTGAGATACCGAGGCTCAGAGCTGTATTGTGCTAATACTTCACCTAACTTTCACCCTCCAACAGGAATGTGAAGTCATTCTGAAAACATCCAACAGTGCACCACCCAAGGCCATGATGATAACCTCTGACATTTTCAGGGACTGAGGTATTCAGGTAATTAAGGAATTAAGAAGTATACCCCACATTTCCTTTTTTTTTTGGAGACAGAGTCTCACTGTGTGGCATAGGCTGGAGGGCAGTGGCGAGGTACGGCTCACTGCAGCCTTCCACTCCGGGGCTCAAGTGATCCTCCCGCCTCATCCTCCCAAGTAGCTGGGAATACAGGCACGCACCACCATACCCTACCCTACTTTTTAAAAGACTGAACCATAGACTTTTAGAGCTTCGAGATGGCCTAGTTCTGACCCCCTTGTTTTACAGAGGGGAAAACTGAGGCCTGGAGCAGATGGACAGGCAGAAGGGCAGAGGCCGAGGGCAGCACACCTCCCTCCGACCACACCTGAGTGGCTGCTGCTGCACAGTTGTCCGCTCGCACAGACAGGCATGGAGTGACTTGCCCAAGGTCAAACGCTTCTATTATTTCCATGTCTCTGTGATACCAAGTTCAGTGAGCCACTACACATCAGCCCAGAGAACACTGCCTGAGTCTCTTGTGTTCCTGAAGAGAATGTGTAAGCTGCTTTGGGGATGGCACCGCCTGCTTTTCAGGTGTGGACCCTGATTGTCACCGTTTTAGTGAAACAGAAGGGCTTCAAGCTGTTAAAATGCCAGAAAACACAGCAAAGCCACCACAGCTGGTGTAGGAGAGGCTCCCCAGAGCCCTGGCAACCCTGAGGTGGTTGAGAAGACCCTGCAGGGCTCATGTGCTGGTGGCCCATGGTCTGGAAGGCACAGTGCCAAGTGCCAGCCTACATGGTGCTTTGTGAGATATTTTCCTTAGCTGCCAATATGTAGAGATTGGGAGATTGTGCAAAGAAAAGGAAAAAGAAAAACATCTGACTCTGCCTTTTTTTTTTTTTTTTGGAGACAGAGTCTTGCTCTGTCACCCAAGCTGGAGTGCAGTGGCATGATCTTGACTCACTGCAACCTCCATCTCCTGGAGTCAAGCAATTCTGCCTCAGTCTCCTCAGTAGCTGGGATTACAGGTGCACAGAACCAGGCCTGGCTAAATTGTGTATTTTTAGCAGAGACAGGGTTTCACCATGTTGGCCAGACTGGTCTTGAGCTCCTGGCATCAAGTGATCTGCCTGCCTTGGCCTCCCAAAGTGCTGGGATTACAGGCGTGAGCCACCGTGCCTGGCCTGCCTTTTCTTAAATTAGAAGCCAAGGTGGCAGGATCGCTTGAGGCCAGGAGTTTGAGACCATAGCAAGACCTCACTGCTACAAAATAAGATAATTAGGGTGTCACGGTGCACACCTGTAGTTCCAGCTGCTTGGGTAGGCTGAGTGGGGAGGATCACTTGAACCCAGGGGTTGGAGGCTACAGTGAGCTATGATCGCGCCACTGGACTCCAACCTGGGTGACAGAGCGATACCACCTCTAAAAGAAAAAAAACAAACACCCAATTATGAAAAACTCCAAGCGGTCCCAGCCTGGCCAACATGGTGAAACCCCATCTCCACTAAAAATACAAAAATTAGCCAGGTGTGGTGGTGTATGCCTGTAATCCCAGCTACTGGGGAGGCTGAGGCAGGAGAATCGCTTGAACCCAGGAGGCGGAGGTTGCAGTGAGCCTAGATCACGCCACTACACTCCAGCATGGGAGACAGAGCGAGACTCCATCTCAAAACAAAACACCAAGCAGCCTGGCCACAGTAGACCTTCCTATTGGGCAGCACTCGCTGGAGCTGGGAGGAGGCTGTGTCCCCTTTGGACAGGCACATCCTTGCCAGTTCACCACCGTCACTGCTCTTTCCTCTTTGCTCACTGTTTCTTGCTACACATGTTTGAGTTTGCAGCTGACTCAGAATAAGAGATGGAGACAAGGTTCTGGAGAATTCATAAGGGGCAGGGACATGGCGGCAGGCAAATGGGAGAGCTGCCTCTGCTGTGCACGTGTCAAGGGTTTAAGGCTAAGTGGGCCCCACTCAGGTCCCACACAACCCCAGCAGTGGTCCCGATGGACGATCTACATCTCTCTACCAGCCTTCTCCCTCTCCTCAGAGGGCTGGGGAGCAGCTCCCTGCCCCTCCCAGGACGTAGCTCGGGGGAGGACTAGCAGCGTGGTCAGCCAGGCTCCTACCTGGATCTCTTCCTGGTACATCTTCAGGCTCAAGTCGCTCTTGGTCCTTGATCGCCGTCCCAGAAACACCATGGAACGTTGCTAAGGAAGAGCAGAGGCTGCAGGGCTGGGCTGCAGATGTTCAGGTCCCACCCCTGGTGCCACAGCTGGCCTCTCCCACTTCTCTGGCTTTTGCAACTGTGTCACTCAAAAATGTTACCAATATCTGAGGGAAGGGATCACACCATGGTGAAACCTGCCTCCCTCCTTCGGACCAGGGCCTGGGCTCCTCACCTGGTATCTCTCCATCTGGGAGAGGGTCTCCAGCAGCCGGGTGACGTCCGAGGAGGCCCCCCGTGCCTCCCGGTAGAGCTCCAGGACAGCAACCAGCTCTTCTTTGGAGATTTCCTTCTCAAGGGTGATGCCACCATCAACTGCAGGGAGGGAGGGCAGGTGTGGGAAGGGCCTGGGGCTGGAGCCACCAACCTGGCTGGGTCTCGTACCTCCCTGACCCCCCTCCACAGGGGGTCTTAAGGTTCCCTCTCTAAACCAACACTGCATTGGCATCCTGCTCTCCTCCTCGGCCCTCCCTTCCCTTCCCCTCCCTCTGCTGTGATGTCAGGAGTGCAGGTCTAGCCAGCAGCTGTTACAGGGCCAGAGGGTTTCAGGAAGGGGCCTCTAAACACAGAAAAAATGGTCAGACGGTCTGATACGACAGAGATCTGAGGATGAGTAGTAGCAGGTGTGGGGATGGGGTATTCTGTTTGTTTTGAGAGACAGGGTCTCACTCCGCTGCCCAGGCTGGAGTGCAGTGGTGTGATCATGGTCACTGCAGCCATGACCTGCTGGGCTCAAGCAATCAAGTGCGGACAGTTTTGAATTTGGAAAGAGTCAGGCAGTCACTAAAGCCAGCACCATCCAGTTGCAGCAGGAATACGATTCGCCTGTGCTGTAAACAATGTTTACACCATTTAAATCAAGAACCGTAATGTGAACCTATTATTGAGAAATGTGGAGATGACTAACAGAAGAAATAGCTAAGAGGGAGAAGCCTCTGGAGGATGGGAGGGGGAAGGCAGGGCACGGGCTGCTGCTGCCACATAAGCCTTTCTCTACTTCCTGATTTTTCTCCAACTATGACATGCACTGCCTTTTTTTAAAGTTAGATCATGTCTTCTGACATTAAATATTTGAAAATCAATACAAATACAAGATCTAGAAAGACAAGCCAGATAGATAAGCTGGACAACCAGACAGCAGAAAAATGACAGCCTGATGGCTGGCTGGACGGCCACCCAGACAGACAGACAGAGCTGGGTGGGCAGCAGACATCAAATGCCCAAGGCATCATCCCTGCAGACCTTCCGAGTCCTGGTTCTTGCGGCTGTAGTTCATTCGGAAGACGAAGGCCTCGAGGATGAAGGCGACAATGATCGTCATCACCACCTGGCCAGGGACAGGGAGGGAGGGGCAAGACAGGGGAGGAGGGTGGGTGAGTGTCTGTGGCTGCGCAGCCCACGCCCAACAGAGCCCGGCCATAGGGGACACAGCCCCACCCCCTGACGCTGCAGCCTGAAGAGCAGGGGCAGCTGGTGATGTGGAAGACGAAGGACAAAGAGCATTCTGTGGTCCGGGACCTACCATGGTCACAATGTAAAAGGTCATGAAGTAGAGGCGGCTCCAGTGGGAGGTCTGAGAGGTGACGCCTTCCTGGAGGCCAAGGGAAGCAGCCAGTGAGGGGGTGCCCATGCAGGGCAGGTCCCTGTCTACACAGGCTGCTCCATGGCCCTGGCTCTTCGTAGACCCCACCCTGATTGGTGGCTGGCTGTGAGAGACGGAGGAGAGGGAGCTGGCCCCTCTGGGCCCAACACTAATTCCTGACTGCTGAAGAAGCCCTGGCTGCTCCCCTGGACGGCTGGATCCAGAACGAGGGCAGCCTTTATCCCAGTAGGGCTGGGAGTCGGGAAAGTTTAAGGAATGGAATAAAGAGATCAGCAATGCTCGCCGCATTGTCACTAGAGGGAAAAGTCATCCCTACAGTGGGCGAGACAGGACAGAGACCCAGAGTCTAAGTGGCATCTCCTGGCTGCTGGGAACATGCAGGGAGATGGGAGTGACAGCCGAGTCCAGCCAATGCTGGGAGGGGTGGCTTCTGGGGCCCAGCCATCCTGTGGCTGAACACCAACACAGCATGACTCAAGACCCCCAGCCCTGCGGCTATGGGAAGAACGATATACCCTGGGTTCGGGGGAGACCCAGGGCCGACCCCAGGACTGATGGGAAGACACCCCCAGAGGTGCCCGAGCTCTTACCATGATGATGTACCAGTTGTTGACAACTGTGAGCTCAAACAGGGTCACTGCCAGGGGAAGGGAGAAAGCAGCATTCTGATGAGGCCCCACTTCAAAGTCAACTTCGAGTGGCCTCTTGCCAGCTATCCTGGGTGCCGTGTGCTGAGATGAGGGGTCACCATACGACCGCTTGGGTTGTGAGCTCCAGGAAGGACCAGGCAAGGCACTCCTAGGGCGCCGGCTCCACAGGACATTGTGGCCCGGCCCCAAGAGGACACACCCTCTGCCTCGGCAGCCTGTGCCACACGAGACCATCTGGATCTTACTGGGTGCAGATCTGGGGTGTCATGGGGGCACACCCTTTTTCTGGAGAGGTGGTTTGGCTGTGTTCACCTCTTAATGGGGGTGGGCAGAGGGCTGTGGGCAGCCTGAGCCAGGGGGCAGTGCAGCTGCAGCAGCATTGGTGTGGCTGGGTCCCATTCTGCAAGTGGCACTGTGATGAGGGGACCCCGCCCAGCTAAGGCTTGCAGCTCTTCTCCTCCCCAAATACTGAGAAAGTATCAGGAAAGAGTGGAATCAGGCAACTGAGTGAGCTCCGGGATCCGGCCTGGACTTCACTGCTAAGGTTGGGCAGACCATGTCCTCCACCTGGGCCAGGGAGGCTTCCAGAAAGTGTGGCCCTCGGTGCTGGAGGGAGAAGCCCAGACACTTTTGCTACAACACCTCTGGGACCCGTGGTGACAAGGGCGGGGTCCCCAGGGAATGTGCCCCCTGTGATTTTTCCCACTCACCAAAGCTGTTGAGGATGTTGTCAAAATTATTGAGATAATAGTAGCCTTCCTCCACCACGGTCCTGTTGCCCACGGTGTGGTTGCGCCAGCGGTAGGCATCTGCCACTGTACTCATGCTGGCCAGAGCACAAGGGAGAAAGGAGGGAGGGTCACAAGGCGATCGGTCACCTCCAGAGAGGACAGAACTCTGAAACAAACCAAAGTCTGGCCAAGGATCCTTCTGTTCTGCCCGCAGTCTCGTTTCCTGCCTAACCCTCTCCACCTCATGCCTGGGTCCCCGCTGGAGGAACGCCCTTGGCTACTCCTGCCTGCTGGGCTTGGTGGGAGCCCCTGGCCAGCCTGACCCACCTCTGTCACCTGGAAGTTCTCTGCTGCAGGCGGGGCCTTCTCTCGCACCACTGCCTGCAGGGGAGGGAGGAGAGGCAAGGGCCTCCTCTGCACCTGCCCCGTCTAGGATCTGCTCTTGAGGCTGGACACTAGGCCACAGCCCCAGGGAAGGAATTCCCTACTGGGGCTTCCCTGATACTTGGCCTGAGCAAGTATTTGAAAAGGTTGGCCCTGTTTTGAGGAGCTCATATTTGCCACTTTTCTTCTAATCCTTTATGGCTGTTCTATTAATATCCATGCTAATATTTATAGAAGTCTAGTGTCTGGGCCACCAGGGAGCCTCCTCCCACATGCACGCATCAGATGCACGGGTGAGGTCTCGAGCTTGCACTAAGCTCCCTGGTGACTGCAATGTGCTCTAAAGTCTGGGACTCACTGCTATAGGCTTCTGGTTCCAGACCAAGCTTGACACTCAAACTGGGTCTCAAAGCTACCAGTGTCTTTGTAAAACTGTTTCCTCATCGGTGCTTGAGGCTGTAAAGACCAAATGTAAGAGGACTCTGAACGGAGGATGAATGAATGGCGGTGTGCAGTGATTTCACTGTGGCGGCTCAGGAGAAAGGGAGTGGTCATGGGAGATTTCACTCTCTGTTCCCCATCCCTGAGCACCATGACCTTCTTGCACGTGTCCGTCTGTCTTATCCTATGATGCTATCCCTAGAAGACTGGTCTTGGCCCAGGTCCCCAGCCACTCCAGGAGAGAAGTGGGAGGAAGCCATGGCACTTGACCTTGGGACCCGGGCTACTTCGGGGGTGGTCTCCAGCCCTCGACAGAGGGTGAGCTGATGGCTCCCGACCCTATCTGGGGGATGGGGAACAGGGACCCTGAGTCCAGGACCCTTGTTTAGCTCACTGCACTCAACTAAGCCCTGAAAGCAAAGCAAGGTGGTTGCTCAGAGAGGAGCATCCCTGAGGACCCCAAGGCCACAAGGACACCAATCCTGGCCCTGGCCAGCCCTCTGTCCCGGAAACGCAGACTGCCTGGGGCTGGGTGGGGCCGGGCACCGCCTACTCACTTGCAGCAGTTGGGGAAGACGATCCCGCAGAAGAACTCCATGCCCACGATGGCGAAGGAGTAGTAAAAGATGAGCAGGGTGAGGCCCAGGCTGTGGGGCGACAGGGGCAGGGTGATGTGGGGCCGGCAGGAGGGGGAACGACTCCTCCACAGCCCCGGCCTCCTCGGACCCGTGGGGCTGACTGTGGGGCCACGCCCCAGGTCGGTTCACCAACTGGAAAGTGTCTGCGGGGAAGGGGCCTCATGGGGCAGCTCTGGGGTGAAAAACGGCTCACGTCAGGACGCTATGAACAAATGCCCCTTTCCCAGAGATTCACCCCTTACCTGTGAAAGTAGACTCACAGGTGACCCCTTACCTGTGAACGTAGACACAGGTGGTAAGCAAGTTGACAGCTCCCTGCCCTCCCTACTAAATATGTCAGACAGGTCAGTGGAGAAAAATGGTGCCCAGGAGACCTGTGGTGGTCAAGATTCCAGGCTCCTTGGAGCCCTGTCAGGCCCTCGATTGCAGTCCTTTGTGGAACTCCTTTCCCCCGACTGCCACTCGGCTCCCGCCCCCATGGGGCACCACTGTATGGCACCTGGACCTGCAGGCCGGGGTGGGGGCTGGCAGTACCTGGCCATCCGGGGCAGCAGCTCGAACATGGTGTCCAGCACGTTGCGGTAGCGCTCTTTCAACTTAAACAGCCTGAGTGAGGAGGACGCCCGTCACCTCCACACACAGGCACATGCCTCAGCCCCCGCCCTCAGAACATGCCAGCCCCGCCTTCCACATGCCACATGCTGAAGACAGGCGAGGGCATCTCCTCCACCTGCGTCTACTCCCTTGGGTGCCACCAACCCTGAGCTTGGCTCAGGTGACTCATGCATGAAGGAAGGGACAGTGGCGGCCCCAGGACACCGGCTGGGCGGGGCCCTTCCACGACAAGGAGCAGGGCCAGGCTGCGTCTCTTTGCAGTAGAGCTGCAGGCTCAGACAGGAGCAAGGCCTGGCTCCCGGGGAAGATGGGGGAGAAGCCCGTGTGCCCCGGGGAGTAGGGGCAACGGAGCTCACCAGTGAAGAAGGGTGGCAGGGAGTGGGAGGGAGGCGGACACTCAGGGACAGCCCCAGGCCACCCCCACACGCCAAAGCGGTAGGCTTTTCCTCCATAGACGCCACCACCCCTCCCGGCACCTGCCCTGCCCATCCCGCCTTGGGAGACGATGGGGTGGACGTGGATGGGGTTGCAGCTGGAGGGTCAGGAGGCAAACCCAGGCTCTGAGGGCAGAGAACCTCGGGACCCCTCATTAGGAAGAGACACCATCAGTGGGGCAGGCTCGCCTGGGACTTCCTCCAGTGTCCCTGGGAAATCACTGGGACCCACACAGGACTTTTCTCCACTAGAGGCTGAGCCAGAAAAGCACGAGGGGTCCCTGAAAGGCCCTTCCAAGCCTCAGACCTGTGGCTCTGTGATCTGTGACTGAGCACATGGGCTCCTGTGGCTGGTGCAATGCCACCTCGGGTGGGGTGCACACGAGTCATGGGCTGGGCTTCTCTGCCCAGAGGTGCCTGGTGCAGTGAGGGGATGGGCACAGGCAGCCTGCATACCCTCAGGGGTGGGGATGGTGACCCCATGGCACTTCTGCAGGGGGTGACATCTATGACTCTGGCTTATGAACCTTCTGGCTCGTTCTGGGTCACTTCCCAGACCAATCCTGGGGCATTCCCGCCCTCCCTCTCTTTCTCCCTCTCCTTCTCCAGCTCTGCCCTGCCCCATCACCTCAACAGCTGGAGGGGGCGCAGGACCACGATGAAATAGAAGGGCTCCATGTTGAGGGCCAGCGCCAGCAGTCCCAGGAAGGCGAACACTGTCACGGAGAAGTCAAACCTGCAGGAGGGGAGAGGCCAAGGTCCACCCTGTGGCCCTGAGCTTCCCTGCGCCTGCTCCCCTCCCTGGCACCGTGCACAGCCACCCTCCCACGGAGCCCAGACACAGCAACACCAACAGGAACCAGCCGGCTGCGGGAAGAACTTCCTGCCACCCTGGGGCTTCAAGGTGGCCAGGCCCTGTCCCAGCATGCGTCTTGGGAGTCAGGCCTCAGTGCTCTGACCCCAGGGCCAGAAATGCCCGGGAACCCCCTCCAAAGGGCCCCGTGCTGGTCTAACGACAGGGAGGAAAGAAGCCCCGGCATCCGCAGCCCTGGAGACAGGCCTCGTCTTCCGCTCAACAGACATCTGGCTACACACTGCGGACCAGCCTGACCCCAAGGAACTTTCTGAGGGAAGAGAGCAGGCCCTTCCAGTGAGATTCCCATTAGAACAGCTTGCCCTGCCCCAAGCCAGAGGACCCTCTCTCCTCTCCAGACACACAGGGCACACATGTGCTGTCAGCTCCTCCCAACTCTGCTCTGCGTGTCCACCCCCTTGCCCTCGCGGCCCACACTGCGTGTCAGCCCCCCGCCCTCGCGGCCCACTCTGCGTGTCCACCCCCTCGCCCTCGCGGCCCACACTGCGTGTCAACCCCCTCGCCCTCTCGGCCCAAGACCTCATGAGTGCAGCCTGACTTCACAGGCCAGTTAACTTGAACAGGGCAGGGAAGTGACCTCCCACGCTCTGGGGAACAGGCAGAAGGGCCACGTAGGTCTCAATACTGCTGATCAAGGAAAGTGGGGGCGCATTCTTCTCTGTGGGCATTGTGGTTTTTATGGAAGAGAAAAAAGTTTAATGACTCAGGAAGAGCCAACCAGCCTGTGGCACCTCAAGAGGCCATTTCCAGAAGGACTGGCGTGGGTGGTCTGAGAGGCTTCAGACAAGGGCCGGACCCTGGGGAGTTCCTGGGCTGGGGGCAGGGCTGCTTGAGGGAGACACAGGCCTCGGCCCGTCCTCAGACCTTCCCTCTGCAATTCCAGATATGGCCCGGGATTGGGGTGTGCAGAGAAGGGTCTGGGGCCACCATCAGAGTTTCAGCTTTGCGTCAGAGACATGCTGTCCACTCACAAGTTCCATCCGGAGGACAAGTACTCCACAGGGCCCAGGCCGGCGACCTTCAGGAACAGCTCCACCCCATAGACTGCGGACAGAAGGAGTCCATCGGCAGCAGCCCCGCCACATCCTCCCCCTGCTCGGTCTCCTTTTTGAGGCTCCTCCACAGTCTGCAGCCTTCCTGCTGGCCATGTGCTCTCCAGGCTGAGCCCAGGCCTCACTCATGTCCCACCGTGAGAGCAGGTGCTCCATGAGAGGGCCCAGATGGTGGGCAACTGAATAATCTGCTTAAAAGAAACTGGCCAGGCATAGTGGTTCATGCCTATCATCCCAGCACTTTGGGAGGCCAAGAGAGGAGGATCACTTGAGCCCAGGAGTTGGAGACCAGCCTGAGCAACATAGTGAGACCCCATCTTTACAAAAAATACAAAAATTAGCCAGGCATGGTGGCGCTGTGTGCCTATAATCCCAGCTACTTGGGAGGCTGAGGCTACTTGGGATCCCTTGAGCCCGGGAGGTTGAGGTTGCAGTGAGCTATGATCACACCACTGCACTCCAGTTTGGGCGACAGAGAAAGATCCTGCCAAAAAAAAAAGAGAGAGAGAAATCCTCCCTTCCCGTCTCTGGGCAGGGCTCTGCTAACCATTTGTCCATCCAACAGGTGTACCCCTTCCATCTTGGGCCTTGCACTGGGTACCAGGTGTGCAACAGTGACCAGTGCAGGGCACCCCTTGGGGCAGAGAGCTTATCAGCTCGGTGGGAGAAAAGACACCAACAGGAATGACAGCACAGTGTGCTCAGACTTGATAGAAGGAGCAGGAAAGTCAGGAAGAGGCTGGGGGAGACGCCACCAGGCAGAGGAAACCCCTGTGCACAGCCCAGAGGCAGGCGAGAGCAGCAGGCAGCAGGGCCCACTGAGGAGGGCAACAGTGTGCAGCAGGGGACACGGCGCTGGCAAGCGAGTGGAGGGCCACACACGCCTAGGATTCTGGGCTCCATCCAGAGGGCAGTGGACAACCACGAAAGAGTTTTAAACAGGGACAACATGGAATCCGACTAAATACTCCGTCTCTTTATAGCTTCCTGTTTTAGAGAAGAACCATGAGGTTCTATACTGAATAAAAGTTCTCCCAGACAATTTTAAAACAAGCAGTCCAGCAAAGCCATGTCAGAAACTTACTAGTTAGAAAGACGAGGTAACTCCAGGGCACGTGCTTGGAGAAGAAGTTCCCACCTGTAAGGCAGAGAAGTAGCAGCTCACAGGCAAGCTGGGTGTGCCGGCCAGGACACGGCCAGTCCCCAAGCAGGGCTCACCTTTCAGCATAAACGTCTCCACGAGGATCCAGACCCCGTTGACTGCCACCACCAAGTCTGAAATACACAGGCCCGTAAAAGAAAGAGAAATAACGGGGGCTTAGAAATCTGCAGGTCACAGCTGCCGTCCCTGGTTAACTTTCTGGAGCTCTACGGGATGGGGAGAACAGGGCTGCTCCACACACCCATTTGATAGGGAACGTCTTTCTGCTCAGTGCTCTTACCAAGGGAGCTAAATCAACCAGTGTTTTCACCTAGAAACAGCTACAAATTTCTAAATACACTCCCTCTGTCACTGTGTGAATACCAGTTATGATGTAGAGATTATTCCAAATTGGTGTAAAAAATGGACAATATACAAGGCATTCAAGTATTGAAAACATGTGTTTTCCCCTAGAGACTTCTAATTTAAAAAAATTGCATGAACTCTTTAGAAAAACTGCATATGCATTAAGCCATTTACCTAGCGATCCCACTTTCCAGAAACCATCCCAATGATGCACTAGCAAAAATGTAAGATGTATCTGAAAGCTATTCACTGCAGCACTATTTGTGATAGCAAAACAGTAGCAACAATCTCAATGATCATCAGTAGGGGAGTGGTTGAACAGACTATGATACGTTCATAAAGTGGCATACTTTAACCATAAAAACAAACACAGGCTGGGTACAGTGGCTCACACCTGTAATCCCAGCATTTTGGAAGGCTGAGGCAGGCAGACTGCATGAGCCCAGCGGCTCGAAACCAGCCTGGGAAACACAGGGAGACCACATCCCTACAAAAAATAAAAACAACTAGCCAGGTGTGGTAGTTGTGGGCCCAGCTACTCAGGAGGCTGAGGTGGGAGGACCGTTTGAACACAGGAGGTCAAGGTTGCAGTGAGCCATGCTTGTGCCACTGCACAGACCCTCTCTCTAAGAGAGAAGAAAAGAAACGAGGTACATTTCTACATATTAATTTTTTTTTTTTTTTTTTTTTTTTTTTTTTTTTTTTTAGACAGGGTTTTACTGTCACCCAGGCTGAAGTGCAGTGGGGTGTGATCTTGGCTCAGTGCAACCTCCACCTCCTGGGCTCAAGCGATCCTCCCACCTTAGCTTCCTGAGGAGCTAGGAACACAGGCGCACACTACCATGCCAGCTAATTTTTGTATTTTCTGTTGAGCTGAGGTTTTGCCACATTGCCCAGGCTGGTTTCAAACCCCTGGGCTCAAAGAATCCACCCGCCTCTGCCTTCCTAAGTGCTGGAATTACACGTGTGAGCCACCATACCCAACCTCATTTCTACATATTACCATGAATTGGTCTCCAGGGCACATTGTTAACTGCAAAAAGCCAGGTGGCAGAAAAAAGTGCATAAAATATGCTATTGGTTAAGACAGAGATATTGATATGCATCCAACTTACAGGTTTTAAACAATGGAAGAAGCCATAAATAAAAGTTGCCCACTGTGGGAAGTGACAGGGATAGAAATGAAATTTCCTTCAATATATGTATTTTTTGTAGATCTGACTTGGAAGCATGTATTTCACATAATTTTTTTGCTTTTTTTTGAGATGGAGTCTCGCTGTGTCACTCAGGTTGGAGTGCAGTGGCGCCATCACAACTCACTGCAACCTCTGCCTCTCAGGATCAAGCGATCCTCCCGCCTCAGCCTCCCAAGTAACTGGGACCACAGGTGTGCATGGCTACTTTTTTCTATTTTTGGTAGAGATGGGGTTTCACCACATTGCTCAGGCTGGTCTCGAACTCCTGACCTCAAGTGATCTGCCTGCCTCAGCCTCCCAAAGTGTTGGGATTACAGGCATGAGCCACCATGCCCAGTCCTAATTTACGTAATTATGAAACAAAATTCGGGTTTTTTTTTTTTTTTTTTGAGATGGGGGATCTCACTCTGTTGCCCAGGCTGGAGTGCAGTGGCGCCATCACGGCGCACTGCAGCCTCAACCTCCCCAGGCTTGGGTGATCCTCCCACCTCAGCCTCCCAAGTAGCTGGGACTACAGGTGTGAGTTACCACACTCAGTTAACTTTTGTATTTTTTTGTAGAGATGGGGGTCTCACCATGTTGCCCAGGCTGGTCTCGAACTCTTGGGTTCAAGCAATCCAACCACCTCGGCCTCCCGAAGTGCTGGGATTTTAGGTCTGAGCCACCACGCCTGGCCATAAAATAAAATAAAATGTCAAAAGCAATCCCAAAAAATAAAAAATAACATGGCATAAAAAAATCCAAATGTATATCCCATTGGTGACATGTCCACATGGAAAGGAACTATTCCAGGTGACCTTAAAACACAAGGCCAGGCACAGTGGCTCACACCCGTAATCCCAGCACTATGGGAGGCCAAGGCAGGAGAATGGCTTGAGGCCAGGAGTTCGAGACTGGCCTGAGCAACATGAGGATACTCCAACTCTACCAAAAATAAAAAAATTAGCCGGGTGTGGCGGTGCGCACCTGTGGTCCCAGCTACTCAGAAGACTGAGGTGGGAGGATGGATTGAGCCTGGGAAGTCAAGGCTGCAGTGAACTATAACTGTGCCATTGTTGGGGCACCAGACTAAGTCCTTGTCTCAAACAAACAAACAAAAAACCCCACAGTAATCTGAATGTACATCCCCAGACTGATGTTTCTAGGAATTATATCATTGGGATTGCATTGCAGTTGTTATCCTGGGACTGTGAGATAAAGCAAATGAATAACTGTGCCAGTATAGTTAGGAACCTGGATATTTTTCTTCTTTGTTGGTGTCTGATTGTCTTCAAAGACAACCTGGATTTTAAGATTGAGAATCTAGGCCGGGCACGTGGCTCACGCCTGTAATCCCAGCACTTTGGGAGACTGAGGTAAGTGGATCACCTGAGGTCAGGAGTTCGAGACCAGCCTGGCCAACATGGTGAAACTCCATCTCTACTAAAAATAAAAAAATAGCCGGGCGTGGTGGCGCACACCTGTAATTCCAGCTACTCGAGAGGCTGAGGCAGGAGAATCACGTAGAACCCGGGAGGTGGAGGTTGCAGTGAGCCGAGATCACGCTAGCCTGAGAGACTGAATGAGACTCTGTCTCACAAAAAAAAAAAAAAGAAAAAAAAGGATTGAGAATCTAGATGTGTAAGATTCATGAAATCAGTCTTACACATCTAGATTCTTAATCTTAAAATCCCTGCAGGCCTGAATGTGAAGTATCAGCATGAACTCACAACAGTTTATCTTTAAAGAAACAAAACCCTAGTTCTGTCCATGGGAAGGCCTAGAAACAATGACCAACCCAGGCAACAAGCACTCAACGCCCCGAATTGTGTCTCTAACACCATCTCCTACTAAAAGGAACCAGAGCTCCTTGGAAAGACCAAATTGGATCAAGCCTCTAGGTTAGTACTGTCCAAGGGAATTTTCGTAACAATGAAAATTTTCTTATCTGCACCATCCAATTGGTAGTCATTAGCCATTTGTGGCTATTAAGCACTTGGAATGTGACTGCTAAGCTGATTTTTTCATTTTAATTAGCTTAAATGTAAATGGCCGCATGTGGCCAATGGCTTCCACACCGCACAGCATAGCTCTAGATAGAACTACCAAATTCCAGGAAAGGGCAACAGAGGAACACACAAAACCCAAATCCTGCTTCCTCACCTAAATACTGCATGAGGGGAGGAAGAGGAGCCTAGAGATTAAAACAAACTCAAGAGACATATCGACCAATCAACTGTGTAGTTCTGGAATTTGCTTCCAAAAAATCTAGGGCTAGAGGGGATGATGAGCCGGAGTGAGGATACAGATGGGTTACGGGCACGGGGATGCGTGTGGTAATGTTTTCTCCAATTTTATACATGCTGAGAATTCCCCACAGTAAAAAGTCAAACACAAGATTCTAGGACCAATCTCTTGCCTCTCCTGCTTCTAGAACAGCAAAGGACTCAGGGGGAAAGTGGCCTAGAGTGGAGATATTTCATACTTACACATGAAATACTGGAAGGCCTTGGACTTCACAAGGATATTAATGCCTATTTGAAGAAAAGACTTGTCAAAATGTAAATTTATGCACTTGTTTCCCCTACCGTATCCTTCATTTTTTATTTTTTATTTTATTTTATTTTTTTGAGACGGAGTCTTGCTCTGTCGCCCAGGCTGGAGTGCAGTGGTGCGATCTCGGCTCACCGCAAGCTCCGCCTCCCGGGTTCATGCCATTCTCCTGCCTCAGCCTCCTGAGTAGCTGGGACTACAGGTGCCCGCCACCACGCCCGGCTAATTTTTTGCATTTTTAGTAGAGACGGGGTTTCACCGTGTTAGCCAGGATGGTCTCGATCTCCTGACCTCGTGATCCGCTCGCCTCAACCTCCCAAAGTGCTGGGATTACAGGCGTGAGCCACCGTGCTGGGCCCCGTATCCTTTATTATTATTATCTCCTTCTGGGCAGGTGCGACCACCTACCACATTCTTTGTGCATGCAGGTAAGCATGGTCTTTAGCCCAGAGGTTAAGAAAGGAGGGTCCTACTCAAAGAGTGGTACCCACACTTCTGTTCAGACCCCCAGACAAGACTGCACTGACTGCAGCTGCCCTGGGGAGAGGCTGAGCAACCTGGAATCGAGATAGAGCAAGGCAAAGCTCTGCTGACCACTGCTGAAACTGGCATGAAATTAACGGGCAATTGTCAGGTTAATAATATAAGCACCCAATTTCAAATTTTCAAACTTTACACTACACAAGCGTTATTCAAGGGGTCATGCAAAGTAAGTATATATCCTGTCATAAGAGGAGGGTAAAAATATATTACTGGGGCTGGGCATGGTGGCTCACTCCTGTAATCCCAGCACTTTGGAAGGCCAAGACAGGCAGATCACGAGGTCAGGAGTTCAAGACCAGCCTGGCCAGCATGGTGAAACCCTGTCTCTACTAAAAACACACACACACAGAATTAGCCAGGCACGGTGGCAAGTGCCTGTAGTCCCAGCTACTCAGGAGGCTGAGGCAGGAGAATCACTTGAACCTGGGAGGCGGAGGCTGCAGTGAGCTGAGATCGCACCACTGCACTCCAGCCTGGGCGACAGAGCAAGACTCCATCTCAAAAAAAAAAAAAAAAACAAAAAAAACATATATATATATATATAAAAAAAATTGGATGAAAAGGTAGATAACAGAATAGAATATATAATGTCACCCTATTGTTTTAAAAATGCATAGAAAAACGGCACGGAGGGAAACACATCAGAGAATTAACAGTGGTTATCTGGGTGGTAAATTTCCATTTACTTCTAATTATCTCACTTTCAAGTTTCTTCAATGAATATCTTTGCTTTTGTATGAAAAAAGAAAAATTTCCCAAATGTCTTGGTTGGGTTAAGTTACCCATTTTGGTTGGGTTAAGTTACCCATTTCTCTCCTAATCTGCTTCCTACCACGCTTACCTCCCTGCTGGGGTAATCACGCTGTCTCTTCACACACACATTCAGACAAACACACACACACACCTGTCTGAACCTCTCCTCAGATGCTCCTCTGCGGTCTCTGAAAACTTCCATCAGCCCCCAGCTGCCAACACCTGCCATATTCAAACCCACTTACCTTTGAAGATGAGGAGCGCCGTCCTGGGAAGCTCATCAAACCAGTGCTCTCTGTTTTTCTTGGCCTGGTAGACAACAGGACCAAGAGGGAGGGTGTCAGGGCCAGGGACCAGAGCCGTGCCCTGGAGCCAGGATGCTGGCTTCCTTTCCTGTTCACCCTGCTAAACTGGGGAACAATGTTAACCTTCAGGGATCTATCTGACAACACAGCCAGCCAGTGTGTACCAAGCATTTACAATGTGCCATGCAGAGGCATTATTTTAGTATAGTCCTGAAATTAGCTTTGTCAGTAGGGATTATCATTATGCCACTTCCCAGGCAAAACAAGGCTCAGAAAGGCTCAGCAACCTGCCTGATGTCACACAGTGACTAATGGGGTCTAAGTGAGATTGGGTGCTGTTAACCATGACACTATGTCACAAATGTAAGGGCAGATTTGGGGGCTGGGGGCCACCTGTGATCCCTGAAGTGTACCATGCCAAGCTGGGGGCTGAGCTGCTGTAGCAGGGAGAGAGCTCGATCTTGGGGTGTCCCTGCTTCTCACTGCCCCACCTGGGGACCTGTCTGTCTACTCCTTCTATGGTCTCAGAGGAGAACTCACCTTCCACTTCAAAGCTGCAACTTCGTAGATATCGTAAAAGTCCTTTAGGCTGCCAAAAGCAAAATAAAAAGGGACAAAATATCAGAACATAGTTCCACTGAGCTTTGCTTCTCTTACTTGCCTGCCTATGGACACCTTTACAGGGTGAGGGTAGGAGGAAGGGAGGGGACACCGTGTGAGTCCCAGCACAGCAGTGCTGGGGGATCCTTTACCTGCGATTGTTTGGATCTCCTCTGACCCTGAGGTACTACGAATATGTAATCCACTTAGTCTCCATCGACTGCACTAACTACGGACAGTGTCAGTGCCCTGGAGAGGCAGCTGCTGGAGTACTAGGATTCTTACGAGGACAGAAACTTCACCTTTTAGCAGGGGCCTTAATGTAACACCTGGGACTCAAGCTCAGCTCAAACAGGGCTTGTTCTCAGCTCCACAGCAGGCTGCTGTGGACAGGGCTTGGTCATCAACAGCCTGGAAGACCAATCCTGCCCCTGGAGATCTAGGGTCAGTTCTCTGCGGCCGAGCCAGGTGTGTGCAGGGGATGGGGGAAGTATATTCACCCCTCTCTGTCCACCTGGCTCACATAGGACTATCCTACCCCACTGGGGGTTCGAGGGCCAGCAGCTGGGCCAGTCCACTCCATGAGCTCCTTTTTTCTCAAGTCAGTTTGAATTGGATTTGTGTTGGACTTTTGTCACTTGCAAAAGGAATCCTGGTGAATCCAGTCTGTAAGTCCACATGGATAAACATCTCTGTGGAGGAAACTGAAGTCTCTGACAAGCCTATAGGCCTGCCCACCTCCACGGCCTTCACATGCCCTGGTTCACTCTAGACATGAACGCCTTGTCTGGTCACGCTGCCCCTACCAGGCACCTGCTCTTACCTGAGCAGAGGTGTGTTGTTCTGATTCAGGGCCTTGAAGGTAAGATAGCGCTCCCTGGCACTCATCCGGGGCTTGTAGAAGCGCATGAGGCCTTCAAACTGCCTGTAGGAGATGCCGGCGGGCCTCTGGGGGAGAGGGAGGAGCAGTGTGGAACCCAGACTACTCCCTTTCCCTTGGGGCACCCACTCCAGATCCACTCCAGCTCTGTTCATTCTTCCAAGGGCAGGGTTCCTGGTTTCCAAAGTTGCTGGCCTGGCCATGCTTAGGGGCTGCTCTGGGCAAGAGAGGGAGGACAGGGACCAAGCCCCTCCCTGGCCCATGGCTCCTACCCTCTGGCTGACGAGCAGGCGGTAGGCATGCTGGATGGCGGTTCGCTTGTGCAGTAGCAACGACTTGAACTTGCGTTTCTCAATGTCATTGAAGGTGTCGAACACCACAGCCAGAAGCTGTGGGAGAGAAGCACAGAGCCCTGGTTCAGGGCCGTGAGTGGCTGGCGCAGGGGGTGCAGGGGGGCATGGGTTCATCATTTAGGCAGGGCTCTCATCCAGCCAACCCAGAGAGGCCCTGGGGAGACCCTTTTGCCTGCACCTCATGGGGTAGGAAGTCGGTCTCCCAAGTCTCAACAGAGGCAAGCCCTTTGTTCCTCTTGTAAATTTCCCTCTTCAGATACATGAAGGCATTGTTACTCAATCTTTCCCAGGTTCCCCTCCACTTTCCCACACTCCCTTCCCCAGTTCCAGCTTGTCCCAGGCTGGGCAGGGGCAAGCCAGGGGAGGATAGAGTAGCAAGAGGGGCGCATCTGGGTTCCGAGCCCAGTCTGACTCTGGCCAGTGGCAGGAGGAGGCTGCCTGCCCACTGCCCTCCTGACCTCCGAGCCAGAAGTACCCTTCCTCCTCCTGCCCTCTTTGTACTTCTCCTTCACTGCTTCACGTGTGGCCCAGGAAAAGGGGGAGTGAGAGGCTCTGCAAGCAAGGAAATAACGTTCTAGAGTTGGCTAATACCAAAGTTAGCTTATCAGAGGGGGATGGAAGGTGGGGGAAGAACTTGAAAGAATCCTTTTTAGAAACACTTTCTCTGTCTTTAAAAATGTTTTAAGGGAAACTCTCTGGTCCTTTCCCTCAAACTGGTCCCCCATTTTTTCCCTGTGGATCAAAGGTCAGCACGCTTTTTCTGTAAAGCGTTCAACAGCAACTGTTTTAGGCTCTGGAGGTCAAATGATCTCTGCTGCAACTACTAACCTGTGGTCATATCATGTGATCAGCCACATACTATACATAAACAAATGGGCATGACTGTGTCCCTGTGTATTTACAAACACAGGCTGTGGGCCAAATTTGGCCAGCAGGCCGTACTTTGTTGACTGTTGCCCTAAATTCTCACAGCTCTAAATATATTACAAATTAAATCAAATACAAAGAAGTACTCAACATATTTCTTCTTGGTTTCGAGGAATTAAAACAAGAATATATTTTCTCCTTTTTAAGACTTAATTTTGGCCAGGCGCTGTGGCTCACACCTGTAATCCCAGCACTTTGGGAGGTTGAGTCGGGCAGATCACCTGAGGTCAGGAGTTCGAGACCAGCCTGACCAACATGGCAAAACCCTGTCTCTCCTAAAAATACAAAAATTAGTCAGGTGTAGTGGCAAGTGCGTATGCCTATAATCCCAGCTACTCAGGAGGCTGAGGCAGGAGAATCACTTGAACCTGGGAGGTAGAGGTTGCAGTGAGCCAAGACTGCGCCACTGTACTCCAGCCTGGGTTACAGAGCGAGACTCCATCTCACCAAAAAAAAAAAAAAAAAGGACTTAAAATTTTTTAGATTTCACATGTCTACCTAGAGAAGATGATTTTCATTTCTATACTGGGCCTGACTGTGGTGACTGGTGTGAGAATGCTCTGCGGAAGCATAAAAATAAACACAAGACTCGATCGGAAGCCTCTTCCCGTTAGTCCTGCCATGGATGTGTGGTCTGAGCACCAGCCTAACAGCCTGGTGTCGGATGTGATCTATGATGGCTGGGACATTCCTGGCGGCTGTCTGCGCCTCCACAAATACCCTCAAAGTTCTTTGAGCACAGGCGCTTTACGTTCTCCTTCACAGAACGTGTTCTATACCGGATTTTCTGATGGTTCCTGATAAATGAGGTAGAAATACACAAGACATTTCTGGCATATGAGTGCAACTGAACAGAGTGGTTAGGAACAGGGCTCTGGAATGGGCCTGGCCACTCCAAGCTACGCAGCCGTCGGCAAATCACACTGTCACTCTGACCCTCAGTCTCTTCATCTGCACTTCGAGAACCATACTCACTACCTCCAGGGTTGTGTTTATTTATTAAATTATTTCATCCTTATATGTAAAGCACTTTGCATAGTGCCAAGTGGCTAAGGCTTACTAAATGCCAGCTTTTACAGTTATTATAATATAGTTGGCCTTCCATATCTGTGAGTTCTGCATCCATGGATTCAAACAACTGGAAATCAAAAATATTCCAAAAATAAAAGGATGGTTGCATCTGTACCGTACATGTACAGCCTTCTTTTTCTTGTCATTATCCCCTAAACAATATAGTAAAACAATTTTTTTTTTTTTAATACGGAATCTCGCTCTGTCACCCAGGCTGGAGTGCAATGGCATGATCTTGGTTCACAGTAACTTCCACCTCCTGGGTTCAAGCAATTCTTCCGCCTCAGCCTCCCGAGTAGATGGGATTACAGGCGCCCACCACCACACCCAGCTAATTTTCGCAAGTAGAGACAGGGTTTCACCATGTTGGCCAGGCTGGTCTTGAACTCCTGACTTCAAATGATCCACCCACCTTGGCCTCCCAAAATGCTGGGATTAAAGGCGTGAGCCACCCTGCCCAGCCCAGTATAACAACTATTTACATAGCTTTTACATTGTATTAGGTGTTATAGGTAATGCAGGATAATTTAAAATATATGAGAGGATGAATGTGCATAGGTTATCTGCAAATACTCTGCCATTTTAGACAAGGGACTTGAACATCTGTGGATCTTCACACCTACAAGGGGTCCTGCAAACAATCCCTGTGGACACTGAGGGTCAACTGTCTATTTCTGATGTAAGAATGCAAAGGTCCCAGGGTCGCCTGGGTTTAACATCCAGCACTATCAGCAGCAGCAGCACTGCCCTGGTGAGGACACCACCCCCAGCAACTGGCTGAACTCCTGAAGTCCTGACAGGGCATTCCCTGCAACACCGCACCTGACTGTGAATCTGGGACTTCCTGCCCCAGCGTTCTGCCCTGAGAGGCGGAAAGCAGTCCCCACTTCTCCACTCCCATGGCGCCCAGCGCTGTGTGGGTAGGAGCAGGCTGCTTCAGCATATAGCCTGAAGCACAGTCACTCACCAGGTTCATGATGAAGTACAGCTCAATGGAGAGGTACACGATGAAGAAGACACAGGACCAGGGGTTCCGGGAGTAGGAGGGCATCATCACATCTGGGAAACTGTATTTGCAGAGGGTGACCCGGCGTGCTGTATCTGCCTGTCTCCATCCTCTCAGAGCACATGCCTTGCAGAGGACAGCTCCTTGTTCGCCTTCCCAGCCTCCAACCCTGGTTCCCCTACTCTCACCCCTGGGCTTCATGCTCAGTGGGCCAACCCCATCTCCCAATGGCACCACAGCACCTGCCTGTGCTGGGATGTGGAATATACTTTGCAGAAAAGAGGAGGAGACCCCAGCGCAGCAGCAGAGGACCAAAGGCAAGGCAGAGTCTGCACTTACTTGGCTGTGGTCAGAAGGACAAACAGACTGACGATGCTGTTCTCCAGGGTGCTGAAGTACTGCAAGGGAAGAGGGGGCAGAGGAGAGGTCGGGACCAGCCAAGAGCACACGGCTGCCAGGAACAGGCTGCGATGGGCCACCTGGCGCACCCTGCCACGCCCGCTCTTGCATCTCTCAAGGAATCCCTGAGGGAGGCAGAGGAAAGAGCAAATACGCAGTCCAGAGGCCTCCCCTTTCCTGCACCCGATGTTTCTGGCAGAAGCAGACTATTGACTTGGGGGGACTTTTTTCTAGGGAATCACATGTCTGGGCCATTCGTCTGGCTCTCCGCCACTACTCCTCTGCCAAAATATTTCAACGGTCCAAACCTGATCCTGGTGGCACCCCTTTGAAGGACAGAAAAGGGGATCCCCAGCTCTCAAGGAAGGAAGTGGTCAAGTCTGAGTGACGGGAACTCCCACGTGCGGTGCACACACAAGCTATGATGAGAAACCAGGCAGGGCCCCCCTTTCCCACATGGCTACAGGGTCACGCTGGTGACCCTGTCTGAGGGAAAAGTCCTCCATAAAAGAAGAGACAGACAAATGTGCCAATTACTTACGGGGTCTGAAGGGTTAGGGGAGAACAAGTAGAAACCTAGAAGCGGGTGGAAACACAGATAAACGAAAGGATTAGAGCAGAGGTCCCAAAACCTGGTGTGAAAAGGACCGGACAAATACAGGCAAATGAATGCAGCAGGTCAGGAAGAGCAGCAGGGACTGTTGGGGACCACAGCACCCCAAGAACACATGCTGTGTTGAAAGGGAGCAGGGCTGCAGGCACCAGACGCTTGCCGCTCTACAGCAATGTGCTGGGCACTATCAGCTCTGTTCTTTCAAAAGAGGGGAAGTCTGTATTTTTGTGTAAAATCTAATTTTAAAATGCTGGCTCCAAGTTTTCAGACCAAACAAAACCCATCTGTTGGCTGGATCTGGAATCCAGGCTGCTGTTTTGCAATCTCAGGTTCTGAGATCATGACAGCTGAGTAAAATTCCAAAGGGATCTGCTGCTCCCCTGCAGCCAGGGTCCCAGGGTGGGAATGCCATTCACTTCCTCCCTTCAGGAATGGACCACTCCCTGAGTCCCTGAAATCCTGAGTGGGAAAAGGGAGGAACTCTGCCCTTAGGGGAAATCAGCCCTACCCCTGGAGAAGCACAAACAAAATTCTACCAAGAGTGGGATGGCGGGTGGGAGGAAGTGAGAGCCATGACTCAGGACAAAGCAGTCATGAGGGCCAGGAGGGGTGGGGCCTGGCTCTAGCCTCAGAGTCAGGGCTCTGGAGTCCCACTGTCTTCGCCATCTGCGGAGTCCTGGTGAAAGGACCTTGGCTTTCCCAGCTGAGTGCCAGGGCTTCCAAGGTCTACGCCCTGTGACTCTGTGGCTATCACAGTCAGCCCCATGTGAAAAACCAAGCTCTCCTGAATGAGCAGCCTGTGACCCTGCTGTACCCAGTGAAGCTGAAGCTTGCCGTCTCTCAGGGCCCAGGCAAGTGCCTTTGAGAAACTCTCAAGCGTGAGCACCAGGAAACACACAGGAGTGTTCACTGCGGTGGGATTTGTGATAAGAAAAACATCCAACAGAAGAGCAGATTAACAAGCTTTGGCATACTTGCTCCGCTCCAGTGAAAATGAATATACGGCATCTACATGTATCAACAGGAATAAATTTCAGAAACACAGTATTGAGCGAAAGAGTAATGTGTAGAAGTGGACACTCATATTATATAACCACTTAGAGACTTTTTTAAGTATGTAAAGCTTTATCATTTCTTTGTCACTTGGGGAAACGTAAATGTGAAACAAAATATAAAGAAGTGCATGGGAATGATAAGCTTTGGACAGCAGGTACCTTTGTGGAAAGCGGGAATCATGATCACTAAAGGTCACAAACGTGCCTTCCATTTTATTCTAAGGCTTCATTTCCTAAACTGGATGGTAGGTCCATGGGTGTTCATGTTATTATTATTTATTTATTTTGAGACAGGGTCTTGCTGTGTCACCCAGGCTGGAATGCAGTGGCACCGTCACAGCTCACTGCAACCTCTGTCTCCCCATGCTCAGGTGATCCTCCTGCCTCACCTCCTGAGTAGCAGGGACCACAGGAGCATGTCACACACCACCATGCCCAGCTAATTCCTGTTTTTGTTTTTTTTTTTTGGCAGAGATGGGGTCTCGCGCTGGTCTCGAACTCCTGGACTCAAGCGATCTGCCTGCCTCAGCCTCCCAAAATGGTGGGACAATCGGCATGAGACACCATGCCTGGCGTATTTTTAAAATCTTTCTGAATTTCTGAAACTACCTGCTCTGGTCTGAATGTTTGTGTTCCCCGCCCCAATCCCTACGTTGAAATCTAATCCCCAAATTGAGGGTGTTAGGAGGTGGGGGCTGTTGGAGGTGAAGAGGTCATGAGTGTGAAGTCCCCCCGAATGGGATTAGTGCCCATATAAAAGAGGTCCCAGAGGCTGGGCGCAGTGGCCCACACCTGTAATCCCAGCACTTTGGGAGGCCGAGGCAGGCAGATCACAAGGTCAGGAGTTGGTGACCAGCCTGGCCAATATGATGAGACCCCGTCTCTGCTAAGAGTACGAAAATTAGCTGGGTGTGGTGGTGGGTGCCTGTAGTCCCAGTTACTCGGGAGGCTGAGGCAGGACAATCACTTGAACCTGGGAGGCGGAGGTTGCAGTGAGCCGAGATCGCGCCACTGCACTCCAGCCTGGGTGACAGGGTGAGACTCCGTCTCAAAAAAAAAAAAAAAAAAAAAAAAAGAGGTCCCAGAGAGCTGCCTGTCACCTTCCACCACGTGAGGACACAGCCAGAAGGCACCACCTATGGATCAGGGAACAGGCCCTCACCAGACACCCACGGCTGGCCCTTGACCTTGGACTTCCAGATTTCACAGCCTCCAGAACAGGAAGAAACAAACTTCTGTTGTTTATAAGCCACCCAGTCAGGAAGAAATAAACTTTTGTTGCTTATAAGCCATGCAGTCTATGGCATTTTGTTATAGCAGTCCAAAAGGACTAAGGCACTGTCAAAATAATTTTTCTTCTCTTTTTTTTTTTGAGACAAAGTCTCACTTACTCTGTTGTTGCCCAGGCTGGAAAGCAGTGGTACGATCTCAGCTCACTGCAACCTTGGCATCCCGGGTTCAAGCAATTCTCCTGCCTCAGCCTCCCAAGTAGCTGGGATTACAGGCGTGTGCCACCCACGCCCAGCTAATTTTTGTATTTTTAGTAGAGACTGGATTTCACCATGTTGACCAGGCTGGCCTCAAACTCCTGACCTAGGTTATCTGCCCACCTCGGCCTCCCAAAATGCTAGGATTATAAGCATGAGCCATTGTGCCAGGCCCAAAATAATTCTTCATCCACTGTGAACATGCTTTTTGAGTGTGCCTAGGCCTGAGAAGTAGGAACTCACCGAGGATGGCGAAGATGATCATGAAGAACAGCAGCAGCAGGAGGATGTCCATGAAGGGCGGCAGGGACTGGAAGATCTGCCGCAGGTTGCTGGGGAGAGATGGGCCAGCTCAGAGGAGGTGCCAGCTGGGGCGGGCTGTCTGGGACTCCTCCTTGTTGAGATGGGGCCTAGTGCTTCTGACTCGAAATACTAAACCCTGCCATACCCTGGTGTGACATCATGCTTCATTTTTTCCTAAAGTGGCTTGAGACCCCCACTTAGTGGGTGGCGGGGAAGAACTGGGGCAGGTGTAGCACACAGCCACCTCCACCTGGTGACGGCCCAAGGAGGCAAGTGCCCTGCAAACAGGGAACAGAACAGAAGGTCAAGGGCATCACTTTGGGCGCAAAGGTCAGTTTCCATGAGCAGGATGTGGAAGGCATGAAGACATTTCAAGGCCACTTAGTCCTGGGACACTGGGCCTGTTTCAAGGACAAGTCCTGTTTCTAGCTTTGCAGATGGGCACAAAGAATGAATTACAAGCCCACTCTCAGCAACAGTAGACCAGCCAAGAAATTTTCCAGATTGCATCTCCCAAAATAAATCTCAGTTGAGGCTTGGTCTGGTTTGAGTTTGGTCCCACAGCCTCAGTGAAGATGGCAGGAGAGTCTGCTTGTGTCACATGGATGCTGCTGAGCTGCCTGCATTTGGGTAGATAACACGCATAGAGTGAGGAAGCAGCTCTGGAAGGCTGCAGAAAAGATGGGAAAAAGCCCTGGACCCAGAGGCCGCAAACCTACACTGCGGCAGGAATATCGCCTTCTCCTGTGCGTGGGTGGAATGGCAGAGGGAGAGTGAGTGTGTGTGTACTCCCACCAGCATGCAGGGTCGACGTCATCACTAACTGACTCACAAGCTCTTGCCCCACCAGCCCAGAGGTCAGGCCATGCCAGGATAGTGACTGTCTGCCCAGCTTCCAACCCGGGCCTTACCGCCGGACGCCTCCGCAATACCGACAGTCCACCAGGAAAATGCAGCGCAGTGCTCGGGTCACCCGCACATGGGACATCTGCCGTACCAACACCACGATGGCCTCGACAAACTGCACCACCAGCACCGAGGTCTGCGGGTAGCAGGCATGGAGCACCGTCAGGCCCTGCAGCCCAGCCGTCATCCTGCATTACCTAGAATCGGGGGCTGGAGAGGCAGCGCCCACTCTGGCCTCAGGAGGCCTCTTCTTCTCTCCAGCCCTCTCTCACACTTCCTGCCAACATCAGGCAGCCCCAGAAGAAAAAAACTCCAGCTGCTGGCTCAGGTGTGTGGCACCAGGAGAATGAGCTGAAGGGAAGCATGACTGCTGGTATCCACTGAGGAGGCAAAACTGCCACTCTGCCAGGCCCCCTCGATCAGCCCTCCCTACTCACATCAGGGATCCCGGGGCCTGCAGCTCCTCTTCAGCTCCGCTTACTTGGCTACACTCTCCTAGAGTAGCACACATGCTCCACACACTACAAAGTGCCACCTTGACGTGCTCCTACTCACGCCACTCTCTGCGGCACAGATAAAAAACGCACAACACTAGGGACAGGTGAGCCCGGGCGCAGTGGGCAGAGCTGGGTGTGAACCCCATGTCTCCAGATGAATGTAAAACAGGGAGAACAGCACACCTCTCTCCAAGGTGACTGCGCCAGTGCCTGGCAGGTACTAAACACCCCATCACATTAGCTACTGCTGGCATCACCACAACATCTAGGGCACCGGCAAGGCTGAGGGCGTGGTCAGGACAAGGACCCTAGGGTGACACCTCTAAGCATGGACTGGGTCCATGGTGGATTCTGAATTGTACCAAAGAGACAGGTTTGAAGGTGCATGGGAGAAAAGGCTGCAAGGGGAGGGACAGATGGGCGGACACATCACCTTGACCATGGTCCGCTTGTGCCGGATGAAGGTGTGGAGGCCCAGCCAGCGTAACTTCATGCAGAGTTCAAACACTACCACCATCAGGGCGAATAGCTCCAGGGTGGCGTGGACCTGAGACCAGAGGGTGTGGGGATGTGTCATAGCCAGCCCAGCCCACGGCCATTCCTCATTGCCCAATCCTCCCAGGACCTGGAAGTACCCCAGGACATCCTCCCAACACACACCAGAGTTACAAAAACCTGGCCCTGCATGCCTAAAGACAAAGCCTTGGTCACGGAGCCTTCCCCAGAACAACTAAATATAAACTTGATATCCAGGAAACTGACATGCTGGTCCAAATGATGAAAAATCAGGAAGGAGCCTGAAGTTTGTAAGTTGTAAGAAACACAAATTAGCTGGGCGAGGTGGCGCACACCTGTAACCCCAGCTACTCAGGAGGCTGAGGCAGGAGAATCGCTTGAGCCCAGGAGACAGATGTTGCAGTGAGCCGAGATGGTGCCACTGCACACCAGCCTGGGCAACAGAGGGAGACTCAGTCTCAAAAAGAAAAAAAAAAAAGTAATAAAAACAAGATAAGATAAAATTTAATATCTAGCCTTGTTCTAAGAGGGATTTCATGTAATATACAAAAGATCTATGAAAGACACTAAGAAAGCATCAATTAGGAACTTAAGAAATAAAATCTGATTGTCAAAAAAACAAGGACTGTCAAGCAGAGAGCAGCCCCTAAAACTCTCATCCTCATTCTGGACAAAAGGACAAGACAGGGAAAACCCTCAGCTGGAAAACCTTCCCAGCAGGGAAGTCAAGTGCTTCCGGGAAACAGACATGAGAGAGCTCCTCCTCCCGGGGGTGGGGAGGTTCGGGGCCTGTGGACATTCCAGTGGGCAGGAACTGACAGAGTGAAGGGACGGGAAGATGGACTCCAGCACAGGGGACAGAGTGGTGGAGGTGTGCAGAGGAAGAAACACAGACTGGCTGGAGCTGTGACTTTCGGGCACGAAGAAGGAGAAACAGGAAGGAAAACTGAGTCATGGAGGGCCTCAGAGGCCAGGCTGGATGAGTGCTTCCTAACTCAACAGGCACAGGCTTCCTTCCTTGCTTCCATGCCTCCCGAACACTCCTTGAGAAGGGAACAAGCACAGCTCCACACCTGCTCTGGCCCCCACTGAATGATGGCTGGGCCTAGGTGTGGGGACATCTGAGGGGCTGGAGCTGCCCAGGAAACATCTCCGCCTCCCATGGTGACCACACCCAAATGCCTTCTCCTTTGAGGCTGGAGACAGAGTAGTGGGACTATCCACTGGGTGCCCTCCCCACCCAGAGACAAGGTGTGGGCACTGGTTCTGAGCAGGGCCTGGGACACTTCCCCTCCCTGGAATATACTGGTGGGCAGAATCCCAGAGAGACTGGCTGAAGGCCATTCACTCCAGCAGGGACACCCAGGCATTTCGGCTCCCAAGGCCTCTATGACCGCCTGGTATCTCTCTGTTTTAAGTCTGTTTGCAGTGTTTGTCCTCCCAGTATGTTCCTTTTTGGGGTTCTGTCGTTTGCCCTGAAAGCCGTGGCTCCCAGCCCCCCATGTGAGGAGCATGTGTGCTCACGTAGATGCCGAGCCGGAGCGCAGGGACGGCGGGGGCCTCGCACAGGGAGAGCAGCAGCAGCAGCAGGGCCGTGGCCAGCTCCATCAGGTAGAAGAGGTGATTGTGTGCAAAGAGGTAGGCCGCCAGCGCCTTGGCATCCTTGGGGTGGGTGAAGAACTTGTCATTGTTCTCGCCTTCCTGAAAAGATGAGAGCAGTGTGGGCATGTGAGCCTGGAGACCTGTCCAGCGCCAAGGAGGAACCATGGGCAGGGGAGGAAAGGAAGGACCCAGGCAGGCGAGGAGAGATTCAAGCCAGAGACAGAAGACGCTGGGAAATCAAAATGATCTTCGCAAATCTCATGGTGGTCAAGTCTCACTCCTGCCTGCTGATGGGCTCAAGAGACTTGCTGCTTCTTAAAAACCACTTGGAGGAACTAAAGGGTCCTGAGACAGCCAGGTGTAGTGACATCCCAGCTACTCCAGAGACCAAGGCGGGAAGATCCCTCGAGCCAGGAGTTCAAGTCTAGCCTGGGCAACACAGCAAGACCCCATCTCTTAAAAAAGAGGGGAGGGGCTGGGTGCCATGGCTCATGCCTGTAATCACAGCACTTTGGGAGGCTGAGGCTCCCAGGAGGATTGCTTGAGCCCATGAGTTTGAGACCAGCCTGGGCAACAAGGTGAGACCCCTGGTGCCAGCTACTTAGGAGGCTGAGATGGGAGAATCACTTGAGCCCGGGAGGTCAAACCTGCAGTGAGCCAAGATCATGACACTGTACTCCAACCTGGATCACAGAGCAAGATCTGGTCTCAAAAAAAAAGAAAAAGAAAAAGAAAAAGAAAAAAAAGAAGAAAGGTCCTAGGAGGAGGTAAAGAGAAACAGGCATGTCCAGTCCCCTCAGAGGCCAAGTTCTCCCTCTAGGAGTGCCCAGCAGAGTGTAAAGAGCTCAGAGGCCAGGCTCGGCGGCTCACGCCTGTAATCCCAGCACTTTGGGAGGACGAGGCGGGTGGATCACGAGGTCAGGAGATCGAGATCATCCTGGCTAACAAGGTGAAACCCCGTCTCTACTAAAAATACAAACAAATTAGCCGGGTGTGGTGGTGGGCGCCCATAGTCCCAGCTACTGAGGAGGCTGAGGCAGGAGAATGGCATGAACCCGGGAGGCGGAGCTTGCAGTGAGCCGAGATCGTGCCACTGCACTCCAGCCTGGGCAACAGAGCGAGACTCTGTCTAAAAAAAAAAAAAAGAAAAAGAAAAAAGAGCTCAGTGTAAAGAGCCTGAGAGGAACCACATGAGCTGAGCCTTGGCTTTCTACTCCTTCCCTGAGGAATGCTGGGAAGGTTCCTTCGCCCTTGAGGCTCAGCTTCTTCAACGGTAAAGGCACTAACATTAGTGCTTCCTCCCGGGGCTGTTGTGAAGAAGGAAAGTGAGGACATTTGAAAGGCACTTAGAGTGGTGTCTGCCACACAGTCAGCTCACTACAGGTATTTGCTATTATCATAAGTTATATGAACATTACCAGAAAAAAGGAAGCCAATAACCCTGCCTAGTCAGACCCTTTAACGCCCTTCAAGAGCTACCCAGAACAGGCACAGTGGCTCATGCCTGTAATCCCAGCACTTTGGGAGGCTGAGGCACATGGATCACCTGAGGTCAGGAGTTCGAGACCAGCCTGGCCAACATGGTGAAACCTCATTTCTACTAAAAATACAAAAATTAGCCGGGTATGGTGGCATGTGCCTGTGGTCCCAGCCACTTGGGAGGCTGAGACAGGGGAATCACTTGAACACTATTATACTCTATACTCCAGCCTGGGCCCCTGTCTCCAAAAAAAAAAGGAGCTACACAGTGGCGTATTGCTACTATACATTTACTTAATTCAGGATTCCCCATACCCTACCTTGTTTCAATTGACAAATAATAATTGTATATGGGGTACAATGTGATATTTTGATATATTTATATGTTATGTAATATTTTTTTTCTTTTTTTTTGAGACAGAGTCTTCCTGTGTCACCTAGGCTGGAATGCAGTGGTACAATCTCAGCTCACTGCAACCTCCGCCTCCTGGGTTCAAGCAATTCTCTTGCCTCAGCCTCCTGGGTAGCTGGAATGACAAGTGCACACCACCACACCTGGCTAATTTTTGTATTTTTAGTAGAGATGGTGTTTCACCATGTGGCCCAGGCTGGTCTTGAACTCCTGAGCTCAAGTGATCCGCCTACCTCAGCCTCCCAAAGTGCTGGGATTACAAGTGTGAGCCACCATGCTCGGCCCATTCTCACAAACTTATTCTGGGAAAGGCCCTGCTTGCAGTTTGCAGAGTGACTGTGAGTGAGTCACTTCCCTGAAGCTGGATAAACTGCTCTCCTCATTAGCAAAAAATCGAGGCAAACCGCAGCCCCAGCAGCAAACCTGGCAGGGGTAGGCATGTCAAAGGGAGCAAACACCTTGGCAGTCAACAGAGGGTAAGTTGAACATGGTTCTGTGTTCTGTGCAGGGCTGTGGTTTTCACTACCACCTCCATGGCCACGGCAGTGGGCAGGGGGCCACATACAGTGGCCTGGGAAGCTTCTGGTTTCAATAACTAAAAAAAAAAAAAAATGTATTTCTTGGGCAATTTCTTCCAACAAATAGCCAGGAATGAAGGTCTCGCTAGAAGAACCACTGACATGGGGGCTCAGATTTTAACTCTAGGACTTGGAATCGTCCCAGAAGACATGAGGGGAATGAGGTCTCCACCAACAGATGGAAATATCACCCATGGCACTGGATTCTGAAGAAAACTCAAGAGAACATCGACCCTGTTTCCTGGCTGCTGATCATAAACTAGATTTGGAAAAATAAGGAAGGCCAGTTGTAGCGACTTCTAGGCCTTTGCTGTCTGCTCCCTGGGGTCCAAGTCCACATAGAAATGAGTACTGTTTCAAAGGCACCAGGACTGCTGAGCACGTGGCTCCAGAGGATGAGTGAGTTAACAGGTAACAGGTAAAATGTGGGAAGAGGGGAAACTGCAGGCACCGGACACCCTCAAAGCAGCGAGGGCCAATTATCCACACACACCAGCAACCTGGCTCACTGCAGGACCTATAGCCTGGCTGCAAGTGTGGAAAGGCAGGCCATCTTGAGCCGGGCAGAGGCTCACACCTGTCATCCCGGCACTTTGGGAGGCTTAAGCGGGTGGATCACTTGAGGTCAGGAGTTTGAGACCAGCCTGGCCAACATGGTGAAACCCCGTCTCTACTAAAAATACAAAAATTAGCCGGGCGTGGTGGCAGGTGCCTGTAATCCCAGTTACCTGGGTGGCTGAGGCAGGAGAATCGCTTGAACCTGGAAGGAGGTTGCAGTGAGCCGAGATCGCGCCACTGTACTCCAGCGTGGGCAATAGAGTGAGAGTCTGTCTCAACAAAAACAGGCCATCTCATCCTCCAGGAACAGCTGTGAATGACTGTGACTGTTCAAGGAAATCCAAGTTTTTCTTACTTTTTTTTAAAAAAATGCATTTTTGGTAAAATAATTTAAACAATTTAAATTTGTAAGGTAGTAAAAATTCCATCAGCCAGAGATAATCATCTTTAATATATAAACAACTTTCCAGATATGTATAGATACCTGTACACATACATACCCGCATGCATATGCTGCTGTATGACATCAATTTAAAATGATCATACAACACCAGCTGTTCCATAACTGCTTTTTTCCACAAATACATGGCCCATTTTCAAGGAGATGCACATGGTCAGTTCATAAGTGATGCAACAGCACACAGAATAAAAAATATCATCTGGAGGCTAAACAGTTTAAATGTGGAGCTCTGCAACTCCCTAGCTGAGTGGCCTTGGGCATCATTTGGCCCCTCTGAGTCTCAGTCACCACATCTGTAAAGTGGGAGATGATCACTGCAGCCTCAGAGGCTTGTTACAAAGATTAGCAGGTGCCCTTTAAAGTCTCATATTTTCTTTTTTCTTTTTTTTTTTTTTTTTTTGAGACGGAGTCTCGCTGTGTCTCCCAGGCTGGAGTGCAGTGGCGTGATCTCAGCTCACTGCAAGCTCCGCCTCCCGGGTTCACGCCATTCTCCCGCCTCAGCCTCCCAAGTAGCTGGGACTACAGGTGCCCACCACCACGCCCGGCTAGTTTTTTGTATTTTTAGTAGAGACAGGGTTTCACCATGTTAGCCAGGATAGTCTCGATCTCCTGACCTCGTGATCCACCCGCCTCGGCCTCCCAAAGTGCTGGGATTACAGGCACGAGCCACCGCGCCCGGCCTAAAGTCTCATATTTTCATTACCAATGTCCTCACCTGCTTAGGAAAAGGAGGAATGATCAGGATCCTTAGAGCTTCAGCCATTCTAAGTCTGTGTTCTGACCAATCCCACGCTCTTATCTAGCCTCAGAGAAGGCGATGTGCAAAAGACGTCCTCGCTAGATCATTAACAAGCATGCCTGAGCTTGGGACAATTTTCCTAAAACATTCTGTTGCCTTAACTTGAAACAAAACACAATCGTTTAGGTGTATATGATGCTGCATGAACGTATGAGAAACAGACGATTGAACAACCATCAGACAAATGTCTAAATTTCATTACATCTTTTTTCTTTTTTTTAGACAGGGTCTCATTTTGTCACCCAGGCTGAAGTGCAGTGACACAAACATGGCTCACTGAAGCCTCAACTTCCCAGAGTCAGGCGACACCTTCACCTCAGTCTCGCAAGCAGCTGGGACTAGAGGGTACACGTGCCACGCCTGGCTAATTTTTGTAGTTTTTCCAGAGATGGATTCGCCATGTTGCCCAGACTTGAATTTCACTAAATCTTTTTAAAATGACAAAACAAATACTTGCAGTGGAGAGCTGATTCAGGTAAGAAAGATTAGGGAAAATTATGATGTGAATGCATTTAAGAAAAAGTCTATTTCCTCATCCAAACTCTTAATGCAAACCAGAAACTGAAATCTTACAGTGACAAGATTGGCAAGATTAAGGTTAAAATGTCACCGCCAGTGGGCCCGTCAGTAAAGAAGCAATACTTCCTGTGGAGAGGATTCCATGATAAACATCAAGGACCTAAAAACTGTTGATTCCTTCTACCCGGTCATTCCATTTCTTAGACTTTCCATTTCTTTTACTTTCCTAGTAAAATAATCCTAGATGTAAGGGGGTGGGGGTGCTATGTATAGATTGTCCTTGGATTATAATTTACAATAAGGGAAAATATTCAAGATTATCAGGTTAAGTAAATTAGGATAATTTACCTGATATAATTTAAAGCTATTTAAATAGCCAGGTGTGGTGGCTCATGCCTGTAACGCCAACCATTTGGGAGGCTGAGGTGGGCAGATCACCTGAGGTCAAGAGTTCAAGACCAGCCTGGCCAACATGGCGAAACCCCATCTCTACTAAAAATACAAAAATTAGTCGGGCATAGTGGCACGTGCCTGTGATCCCAGCTACTCCAGAGGCTGAGGCAGGAGACTCGCTTGAACCTGGGAGGCAGAGGTTGCAATGAGCCAAGATCAAGCCACTACAATCCAACTCCAGCCTGGGTGATGGAATGAGACTGTCTTCAAAAAAAGAAAAAAAGAAAAAAAAAAAGCAGAATCTAAAATTGCACATACCATATGACTTTTTTGGAAAACAGATATATTATTCTTAAAGCACTTTTTTTTTTTTTTAACCTGGAAGGAAATAATGTTGACAGTGACTGCCTTAGGCGAATGTTTCTTCATTCTTTTTTGTATATAAATTTATTGTAATAAGCATGTATTACTTTCACCTTTCACACAAAAATATTAAAAAAAAAAAAAATCCTAAAATGGCAAACAGGAAAGCAGCAACAAGTTAAACAGGAATAAAGCTACAGCATTCAGTATGTAAAGAATTCCCTCCTGAGAATGTGGCCTCTCAGTGTGCCCTGAGAAGAGGGAGGGTGGCAGGGAAGGCCGAGTGAACAGACTCCAGAAATTGTGGGGGTTAGCACAGCCCCAAACAGGGGCCTGAAGACAAGCTGGTGCACGGCAGTTTTCCCCTATGAGCACAGTCAGGTCAGCCAGCCCATCTTACGAACCTGAAGCTCACACACGAGCAGCAGCAGCATGAACCGCCACTGGAACTGAATTTCTGGGCACCTAACAGAGTCCTGGCTGCCCCACCCCACCAATAGGTGCAGAGAACCGCCAGGGCCTGACTGGAGATACTCACCTGGAGGTAGATTGCTGCCTCTTGGTAATTCATCTCCCAGTTGTGTGCGGGGCTGGAGGGGGAACTCCCGCCCTCAGAGCTGAGACTGGGGACCTGGGAGTCGTGGATGGCATAGCTGCCGCCATCTGCATTGGAAGAGGAGAGAGATTCACTTGGCACCCAGGCTTAAGGGCATAAAGACACCGTTCGGCAGAAGAAAAGCCTGGCAGTCCCTTCACATGCTCACATGGACATCCCGTCATCTTCAAATCAACCTCCATGCTGTGTACTGATAACGGCAAGAATTAGCACAGCTGGTTACAAATGTTTTCCTTTCTCTTGATAAGTGAAAAAAGCAAGTACAAAAGAGTACAAATAGTATGCTCTCTAATGTGTACAAAAGGGAGGAAACAAAGAAACATAAATACATCAACTTATCTTTACCAAAAGAAACACAGGAAAGAAAAATGAGAAGTCAATGAAATCAGTCGTCCTACAAGGGCTATAAGGAATAGTGTAGATGGACCCTTTTTGAATCCTTTGACTTTTGGAAGCATATTAACATCCTACTTAGTTAAAAATTAAAAACAACTGGATTTGTTCCCTGGTGCAGGGCCATCTGTTGCTCTTCCCTGCTGACAGCCACGCCCTCCTCCCCCAGCAACACTGGGCCATCTGTCTGGGTAGAACATCCCCTCCTTGCTCTCTGTCCACATTGTTTGGCTCTGGCCGACTCCACCCCTGGCTCCCGGGCAGGTGACCTGGGCCTGGCAATGAGCCCCTCGTCTCCCCTGGGCCCAGGGATTGGTTCAGGCATGGCTGCTGACCCAAGTCCGGCCGGTGACAGCTGAACTTGAAACTGTTCCTGGGCCAATTAGGAAGGAGGGGCTCTTTCCCTGTTGTTGCTCGCGGCTGCCTCTGCCACCGCATGGGGAAAACTTGCCTGAGAAGGAAGTCAGCAGAGAACAAAACAATAACCAAGAGGTAACACTAACACCAGCTGCACCTCTGGAATTCAGCTGTGCCTGAAATCTACCCCTTAATTTCCAAAATCCAAGCTGATAAAGAGATCCCATTTGAGTCTGAGTTGGGTTTGTCACAATAATCCTGAGACTACTGATACACACAGTAAACAACGGCACCAAGAAATGATGTATTCATTGGGAAGAAGTGAATCTGAGAGAAATCTGTAAATCCGCATTGTAAATGATCCACCTGAAGGAAGATAAAGAATCTAATGTTTTGGGCTGAGCACGGTGGCTCACACCTGTAATCCCAGCACTTTGGGAGGCCAAGGTGGACGGATCACCTGAGGTCGGGTGTTCAAGACCAGCATGGCCAACATGACGAAACTCCAACTCTACTAAAAATACAAAAAGTAGCCAGGCATGGTGGCAGGTGCCTGTAATCCCAGCTACTCAGGAGGCTGAGGCATGAGAATCACTTGAACCTGGGAGGCAGAGGTTGCAGTGAGCCAAAATTGCGCCACCACTCTAGCCTGGGGGACAGAGCGAGACTCCGTCTCAAAAAAAAAAAAAACCAAAAAACCAAAAAACTAATGTTTTGATACTGGGATTTGCACAGTTGGCAGGAAGCAAATGTGTAAGGCTTACAACCATGCAAGGGACAGGAAACTGACAGGGCTCAAAGGCCTGCTGGGTTGCAAAAGGTCCTTCTGATCTTGAATTGCCAGTCATGAGCAACCAGGACCAGGCACATCCATTTTCCTAACAATAATGCTGCACATCTTTCCACATGTTTATTTACCATTTGTGTATCTTCTTTGAAGTGTCCAGATCTTTCACCTTTTTCTTTGTTTATTATTATTATTAAATTGAGAGCTCCTTTATACACTCTGGATACAAGTCTATCAGATACATGATGACTTGCAAATCTTTTCCCTTTTGTGGTTTCTCTTCTCATTCTTTTCTAACAGCGCCTTACAAAGGTCATTGAAACAGAAGTTTTACAAATTTTGATGAAGGCCAACTTATCCATTTATTCTTTTATGGATTAACACTTTTGATATCATATCTAAGAAATCTTTGCCTAACCCCTGGTCATAAAGATTTCACATCAGGCCAAGGCGGGGAGGATCACTTGAGCCCAAGAGTTCAAGACTAGCCTGGGCAACACAGTGAGATCCTGTCTCTACAAAAAAATTAAAATAAAAAAGATTCCACATCAAGGCACAGTGGTGTAAGCCTGTAGTCCCAGCTGCTAAGAAGGCTGAGGTGGGAGGATCACCTTAGCCTGGTAGTTCAAGCCAACCTGGACAACACAGAAAGACACTGTCTTTAAAAAAGAAAAACAAAAACAAAGATTTCACATCAATACCTCAATGCCTTGATTATTGTGGCTTTACAGGTCTTAAAATCAGGTAAATGTTGGCAGGGCACAGTGGTTCACGCCTGTAATCCCAGCACTTTGGGAGGCCAAGGTGGGCAGATCACGAGGTCAGGAGATCGAGACCATCCTGGCTAACATGGTGAAACCCCGTCTCTGCTAAAAATACAAAAAAATTAGCCAGGCGTGGTGGCAGGCACCTGTAGTCCCAGCTACTCGGGAGGCTGAGGCAGGAGAATGGCGTGAACCCAGGAGGTGGAGCTTGCAGTGAACGGAGATTGCGCCACTGCAATCCCGCCTGGGGGACAGAGCGAGACTCTGTCTCAAAAAAAAAAAAAAACACCAAAAAACCAGGTAGTGTTAATCCTCCAACTTTGTTCATTTTTTTCAAAGTTGTTTTGGCTAGCCCAGTTCTTTTGAACTTCCATATAAACTTTAGAATTAGTCAATTTCTTTGTCCCTAGTCTAGGAGTCCAATCAATCAATCAATCAATAAAAACCCAGCCTGGGGAATATAGTGAGACCCTATCTCTACAAAAAAAAATTTTTTTTAAGTAAAAAAATTAGTCAGGTATGGTGGCATGTGCCTATAATCCCAGCACTTTGGGAGGCTGAGGTGGATGGATTGCTTGAAGTCAAGAGTTAAAGACCAGTCTGGGTAACATACTAAGACCTCATCTCTACAAAAAGTATAAAAATCAGCTGGGCATGGTAGCTTGCACCTATAGTCCCAGCTACTCAGGAGGCTGAGGTAGGAGGATTACTTGAGCCTGAGAGGTCAAGGCTAGAGTGAGCTATGATCATGCTACTGCATTCCAGCCTGGGTGACAGAGCAAGATCCTGTCTCAATAACAACAGGCCAGGCACAGTGGCTCATGCCTGTAATCCTAGCAATTTGGGAGGCCAAGGCAGGTGGATCACCTGAGCTCAGGAGTTCGAGACCACCCTGGGCAACAAAGTGAAACCCCGCTGGTCTCTACTAAAATACAAAAATTAGCCAGGCATGGTGTCACGCACCTGTAGTCCCAGCTACTCAGGAGGCTGAGGCATGAGACTCACATGAGCCCAGGAGGTAGAGGCTGCAGTGAGCCAAGATTGCGCCACTGCACTCCAGCTTGGGCTACAGAATGAGACTCTGTCTCAAAATAGATAAATAAATAAATAAACAAACAAATAAATGAATAGTCAATTTCTACTTAAAAAAAGCCTGCTGGGATTTGATTGAAATTATGTCAAATCTATCAATGGGGCCGGGCGCGGTGGCTCAAGCCTGTAATCCCAGCACTTTGGGAGGCCGAGACGGGTGGATCACGAGGTCAGGAGATCGAGACCATCCTGGCTAACACGGTGAAACCCTGTCTCTACTAAAAAAATACAAAAAACTAGCCGGGCGTGGTGGCCGCGCCTGTAGTCCCAGCTACTCGGGAGGCTGAGGCAGGAGAATGGCGTAAACCCAGGAGGCGGAGCTTGCAGTGAGCTGAGATCCGGCCACTGCACTCCAGCCTGGGCGACAGAGCCAGACTCCGTCTCAAAAAAAAAAAAAAAAAAAAATCTATCAATGAGACATCTTAAAAACTCATGAATATGGTATATCTCTCAGTTTATTTTGATCTTCTTTAATTTCTCTTAGTAATGTTTTGTAGCTTTCAGTATATGGACCTGACACATCTTTTGTTAGATTTATCACGAAGCCTTTCATATTTCCGATGCTGCTGTACATGAAGTTGCCTTTTAATCTCAATTTCCAATTGTTTGTTGTTAGTATACAGAAATACAACTAATTTTTATATATTGGCCTTCTATCCTGCAACCTGGATAAGCTCACTTAAAAGGTCTAGTAGCCTCTTTTGTAAATGTCATGGGCTTTTCTATACAGAAGATCATGTTGTCTGAGAATAAGGACAGTTTTATTTCTTCCTTTCTAATCCAGATGCCTTTGTTTTTCTTGCCTTATGGCACTGTTTAGAACCTCCCTTACAATACTGAACAAAAATGATAAGAAGGGATATCTTTGTCTCATTCCTGATCTTAGGGGAAAAGCATTTAGTTTTTCACCACTCAGTATGATGTAAGCTAGAAGTTTCTCGTAGATACCCTTTATCAGGCTGAGGAAATTCCTTTCTATGCCTAGTTTGTTGTGAGATCTTACCATGAATAGGTGCTGGATTTTGTCAAATACTTTGTCTACTTTGAGATGATTTCAGCTTGAGTATCCCTAATCTGAAAATCTGAAATCCAAATGCTCCAAAATTCCATACTCTTTGAGTACCAACATGACACTCAAAGAAAATGCTCACTGGAGCATTCTGGATTTCATATTTTCAGGTTAGAAATACTCAACCAATAAGTATAATGCAAATATTCCAAAATCTGAAAAAAATTAAAAATCAGAAATACTTCTGGCCCCAAGCATTTTGGATAAGGGATAGTCAGTCTGTATATGGTTTTTCTTTCTCCTTTGGTTAATATAGTGAATTACAATGATTGGTTTTTGAACATTAAACCAATCCTGCATTCCTGAGCTAAGTCCCTCTAGTCATGATGTATTATCCTTTTTATATATTATTGCATTTGCTAAAATTGTTTAAATTTTTTGCATCTATATCCACGTAGAATGTTGGTCTGATGTTTCTTTCCTTGTGATGTCTTTGCTGGTTTGGGTATCAAGGTAATGCTGGTCTCATAAAATGTGCTAGAAAATATTTCCTCCTTTTCAATTTTCTGGAAGACTTTGGGACAAATTCATATTATTTCTTCCCTAATGTATAGCGTTCACCAGGAAAGCTATCTGGGCCTGAAGTTTTCTTTCTAGGGAAGTTTTTATTACGTATTAACCTTCTTCAGTACATATAGGGCCACTCAGGTTTTCTATTCTTACTGAGAAAGCTTTGGTGTTTGTATCTTTCAATAAATTTGTCAAGAGGTTAAGCAATCTGTCCAAGATCACACAGCTGTAAGGGCTGAACCAGGCTTTGGCCCCTAGCAGCTTGCCTCCAGAGCAGATGCACTTAACCACTATGCTGTACTACCACCCGCTCTAAGGAAGAGGAGTCAGGAATGAGGAATGCAGATGATGATTTTAATCTACTGGTAGCGAACATTTATTGAGGTTTACTGTATGCCAAAACCTATCCTATGGCAGATTTTATTTTCCAAAAATGGCCACCGCATTATCTTTCACCTACCACGCTCTTCTGGAACCTTGCCACTTTTCCATACATAGATAGAAGCTGTCTCTCTTCCTCTTGAAATCAGGTGAGCCTTCATGACTGCTGTGACTAACAGAGAACAGGGAACCTCATGACTTTTGAGGTTATAAAAATACTTTCACCTTATTCTCTTGGGGCACTTACTTGTGGAACCGATCGACCATTTTGTAAGGAAGCCCAAGCAGCTGGTGGAAAGAGAAGACTCAAGGCCCCAGTTCACAGCCCAGCTGAGCACCCAGCCAAGGGGTAGCACCAACTTCTCTGCCACATCAAGGAGCCATCTCAAAAATAGATCCTCCAGCCCCAGCTACATACAACAGCAAAAAGGCAGCTCCACCAAGCCCTGCTCAAACTGCAAACTCAAGCAAAATAAATGTTGCCATCTTAAGGCACTCTGTTGGGGCAGTGATTTGTTACAAGGGCAACAGATAACTGACACCTATCTAAATACATTGCATCTATTAACCCACTTAGTTCTTACAACAACCCTGGGAAGAAGGTAATATTGTTATCAACAGATAACTGATACCTATCTAAATACCCTGTATCTATCTATTAACCCACTTAGTTCTTACAACAACCCGGCAAAGTAGGTAATATTATTCCCACCTCAGACTTGAGGAAACTAAGGTGCACAGAGGCTAAGTAACCTCCCCAGGTCATGCTGCTAGTGAGAAGCAGGGCTGGGATCCCAAACTAGGCTGCCTAGCTCCCAAACAGTAGACTACTTGCCTCTCAAGAATCAGAAACTCGAAAAGAATGACAGGGTAGTTAGTGCCAAAAGGACCAAAAATACACTAACATTTCCATCACTAGAGTGGAGTTCCAAGTAGGAGGTGGGACATCTGGGGGCAGTTTGAACTTGGTAATTCTGACCCTTGTCTTCCCAATAGCAACAGAGCAGCATTCCCTACTCTGATCCCAATGCTCATTTCTGAAAGAACTAAGCCCTAGGCAGAGGCAGGAGAAGGTCAAACCACCTTCCTCAATCTGCTCCCATGGATCAGGGAAGCACCAGCCAAAACGTGACTCCTGAGCAGAAAAAGCCACAGGCGAGCAGCCGGATGGAGCTGCGTCCTCGTGCGCCCATGCCCTGTCCTCCATGACCTCCATATGCCCCAGCAGGGGCTGGCACCGGCAACACAGCAGAGTCCTAGGTAATATAAATAACAATGATGGAGTGGGGCAGGTAGCTGCTCCTCCATGACCTCCATATGCCCCAGCAGGGGCTGGCACCGGCAACACAGCAGAGTCCTAGGTAATATAAATAACAATGATGGAGTGGGGCAGGTAGCTGCTAGCTGGCACAGATGGCAGCAGCCATTAGTGCCATCCTCCTACCCGACACTAGACAGGAGTGTCTATGTAAGCCGCTGCCGTGAAGACCCCCTTTGGAGCCTTCCCACCCTTCTTCTCACACAGGGGTCTCCTTGAATTGACAGGAACTTCCTCTTTGTGCTCAGGAGCTCTCTCAACCCATTCCTGGTGGGGAGAGTACGTCTGGTCCTCCTCAACAGCTCCCCCATCCCTCACCACTTATACCACCGCACCCCTGGGACCAGGTGGCCCAACGCATCCCATGGTGCAGGCCATTCCTTGCTAACAAGCCTCACTGACACTCCCAGCAACAGGTTTCTCCGGGGAGCAGGTAACCTTTGCTATCTTTAGGTGTCCTGGTTTGGGTGAGAGATAGTCCCTCTTCCCCGATACATAACCCTTCAAAGCCACAAAGGACAGTTCCATTCAGCTGAAATCCACAAGGACCACCGAGACTGGAAGGACCAGGCTTCTGGCTGCCCTGGGAGGACAGTCCCCAGAGCCAGAAATCTTAATCCCATCTTCTTTTTCACTCCTCATGGCCTGTAACTCACCAGGTCTGGAAAGGTCTCCTCCTCCTCCCTCTCATCTCTACTCAAGAGGTCTTTGGGGCCTCTTGTCTTTCACCTAAAAGCCTGCGGCAACCTGGACTCGCTCTCACTGTCCAGGCCTTTCCTGACCACCTGACCTGGGCCCCTTGAGGCAGGATGAATCAATCGGGTAAGGCCGAAGTCTGATGGTGTCACTCTGCTACTTAAAATCCTTCCATGGCTTGCCCGCAGAAAAAGACTGACTCCTTGGAACAACAGGAGAGGATCTTTAGAGCCGGCTCCTGCTACAGCCCTCTCCCTTTTCCCTATTCCTGTACCAAACTCCTAACAGCAGAGTGGCTGGGGCCTGGGCCTCAGGGCTGGCCGCAGACAGCAACAGGTGACCATGGAGTGCCAAGGATGCAGGGGGCTGGCTGGAGCCCCCTCCACGGGACAGTGAGCGCCACAGAGACAAAACGTGAGCCCATGGCCACAGACCATACGTGGCTGGTGGGTGAGGGCAGACACGTGGCAGTGCTGCCAATGGTGGAACGAGGACTCAGGAATGGACTTCACAGGGTGTTTCTGCTAGATCTGAAAGGGCTTTCTAATAACTAGAAATGATGGACCATCAGAGAGGGCTTTAACTTTGTCAGGTTTGATGGATTAAAATACAGAAGTCAGTGCCATGCTTCGTTAGAACTGGGTACCTAAGTATTTGTTATTTTAACCTAAATATAATCTGTGAGTTGGAAATAAGTCTCTTTCCTTTTTTTTAAATTTTTAGTTTTAGAGACAGGGTCTCACTATGTTGCCTAAGCTGGACTCAAATTCCTGGACTTGGGCGATCCTCTGTCCTTGGCCTCCATTTGGAAATAATTCTTTTTACTGAGCCCAGGCTGGAGTGCAGGGGCACTATCATGGCTCACTGCAGCCTCAACCTCTCAGGCTCAAGCCATCCTCCCACCTCGGCCTCCAGAGTAGCTGGGACTATAGGCATGTGCCACCATGCCTGGCTAATTTTTTCTTTCTTTTATTTTTTTTTTTAGAGATGGGGTCTTGCCATGTTGCTCAGGGTGGTCTCAAACTCCTAGGCTCAAGCAATCCACCTGCCTCGCCCTCCCTCCTAGAGTTCTAGGATTATAGGTGTGAGTCACTGCACCTGGCTGGAAATAATACTTTTATTTTTATTTTTAAATTTTTATGCATTTTTTCTTTTTTTTTTTTTTTTGAGACAGAGTCTTGCTCTGTTGCCCAGGCTGGAGTGCAGCGGCACAATCTCATCTCACTACAACCTCTACTTCCTAGGTTCAAGCGATTCTCGTGCTTCAGCCTCCTGAGTAGCTGGGACTACAGGCGTGCACCACCACGCCTGGCTAATTTTTGTATTTTTTGGAAGAGACGGGGTTTCACCATGTTGGCCAGGCTGGTCCCGAACTCCTGACCTCAAGTGATCCAACTGCCTTGGCCTCCCAAAGTGCTGGGATTACAGGTGTGAGCCACCGCGCCTGGCTGGGAAATAATTCTTAATGAAAATATTCTAAGACCAACAACTGGCCTGTTCAACTACTCCTTTGTTTAGCAGACATTCCCAGGGTTGTCCCTGCCCAAGGGCAGCTCCTAGGTGCTGGACCCTTAGTGGGGACTGTAGGAACTAGGTAGCCCTTGCCCTCCAGGGGCACCTGTCTGCAGAGGGAGTGGAGTACCCCATCACCACGTGGCCTCAAAAAGAGGCTCTGTAGCTACTAGTCATGGAAGTTTCAACAGCAAAAAGGTTCACCAGCCAGTGAGCAGTGGACTAGCTGCCCCTGCAGCTTGTGGCATCTAAATGTTTACAGGTATGTGGTGACTTCAAGGGGAGCAGGCAGGTGGGTGCAGATGGCTTCAGAAGGAGCTCCAAACTGCGGAGCTGCCCCAGAGGATTGGCAGTGCCACACACAGTCTGAGCAGGGCCCAGCTGCCTAGATCCTGATGGCTCCAAAAGCCTTCCACAAACACTTCCTCACTGCTTAGGGAGGGCAATGGCATCTTTTTTTTAAGCGCATGCGTCCCTCTCCCACCTCCCGATTAACTGCAGCCCCCAAATCTAGCCCCAGTCTCATCAGCTCAGCTTCAGCTAAAAGAACACACACAAACACATGTGGAGCAAATTCTGTGAGGCAGGCACTACTCTCAGCACTTTATATGTGAAATAACTTCATCCTCGCAACAACCTTAGGAAGTGGATACCATCAGTATCCCCATTTCACAGGTGATGGGACAGAAGCACAGAGATTGGTCAGTTTGTCCAGGGGCTCCCACATTTAGAAAGTGATGGAGCTGGAGAATAAATGAGGTCTGTGCCTGGAACCACTCTAACTGCGGGCGGTGTTATTCCACGTGGTCTGCACAGTCCATGAATGGTATGCGATGGTTGGGGATGAGCACCATCCAGGAACCAGAGCCAGCGTGTAGAGGCCATCACCGCAGGTGGCACTGTGCGGCACTTCCTTTTCCTAGTACTTCGTTTTTGCTGTGTTTGATGGAAGTAGAGGTCCTCTGCCGCAGAGTGTGGGAAGCCCTGCTACATAGCTCTCCTGCATGCATTGTAGGCACTTTCTGCTGCTGTCTCAGGAGCAACGACTGTCAGGTCAGGAGCAGATCCTAGAGACCACCTAATTCAATGCCCAGCTTTTAGAGATGGGGAAACTGAGGGCAGGGAACAGGATGTCTCCGTGGTATAGGGCCAACTGGTTACAGCACCAGGTCTAGCACCCAGGCCTCCTGGCTCCCCATCCAGAGCTTTCCTTCATACAAATATCTCCCACTCATCTCTCACTAGAGAAACGTAGGGGATAGCTCCGCTGACCCACTGTCTGCCGTGGGGTACAGTGGCCGCTGTCTCTTCTGATGGACAGCATACAGGTGGGAGACAGGCTTAGCACCTATGACCCAAATCAAAGAGAACACGTGGCTGGTTCTCGCACAGATGGTCCCTCCACTGGCCAGGGCTCTTGGGATGCACTCTTACAGGCCACAAGTGACTGGGGGGCAGGAGAAGGCCCTGGGGTGACTGAGACCACATTTTCCTGGCCGTACCGGTGCTGCATGGAACAGCTGCACCAACAGAGAATCTTGCGGCAGGAGGGGCCTCAGGAATCAGGAGGCTCCTCCCCTCCCACAATCAGCTGAAAGGCCCACAAATAGGGGCTGTGCCTGGCTCACGAGACCTTGCTCTCACCAGCTCCTCTGCCACACTGTGACCCAAACCACCTCTCCCCTGGACCAACACAATCCCTTCTCTGTGTCCCTCTCTGTTCTACCCTCTGTGGCCTATTCTTGACACCAGTCAGAGAAATCCTCTGTTGCGTGCACATGTGTGTGGGTTTTCAGGCAAACTTTTTTGTTTAATATAACAATAATCCTCAAGAACACTAAGCCAAATGGTATCACTCCTCTGCCCGAAACATGCCCCAGCCTCCCTTGATCGGAAGATCTCGTGGAATCTGACCCATGATCTCTCCAAGTCACCTCGTCCCGCCTGCCCCTTGCTGCTGCCATGCTGGCCTCCTTGTTGTTCTGAAACGTGTCTGGAACTCTGCCTTGGGGCCTCTGCCTCCCCAGTCTTTGGCTGTTTCCTCACACCTTCCAGTTTCCATCGAAACATCTTATCAAAGGCTACCCTTGGCCTCCCCTACAAGGTGAGACCACATCACTCCATCCCCTCAAAGTGCTGAGGCTTCCTCCTGGGGCTGTCACCACCTGACAGGGTATCTGTTTACTTGTGGGCCTGTTTCCCCACCTGGAATGTCAGTTCCAAGAGGGCAGGGACTTTTGTTTTGGTCACTGTGGTGTTCCCAGGCCCCAGAACAGCGTTGGATACAATGTGTAAGGGGTCAGCAAACATGTCTGAATTGAAGTGAAATAGAAGGCCTTGCCTGCCCTGAAGATTTCACACACCCCCGTGGGGCACTTAAGGATGGCCACAGCCTGGAGGGTGGAGAGCAAGGAGCCATCCATGGGGCCTGGCAGGCCTCAGGCAAGAGGGTGGGCTCTACTGGGGGTGCAGTGGGCATTACCAAAGGGTGTTAGGAAGGGGTGTGACGTGGTAAGTTTGTATTTGTAAAAACCCTTCTTTTACCGGTCTGCTGAAGAGGGGCTGTTTTGTGTAAGAGTAATTCAGGGTAGAACCTTGAAAGGGACAGGGAAGAATAAGACTCAAGAGCTAAGGTGAAAGAATAGCGAATTCTCCCCCTCCCAGGGCAGACTTTGCTCTGTGCTTCTAACCACTCAACCTCAGAAAACAGGACTTGGTGTGCTCATGTGGTCCCAAAAGGCAAAGCACAATCACTCTTTTCTCCACATGGAGAAAGGGACGAAAGGCCTGAGGTGACACTGGCCATTCAGGGGCTTTTCAAGAAAGCCACAGGTGATCGCAAAGGGCCTCCTTCACACCCAGGCACGAGCGACTGGGGTGCATATTTAGGGATTATAGAAAGGGTGCAAATGGAAGGCAAGGAGCCACAGTTCCGTTCTGTTCCTTTCGTACGTGGCCTTCATGCAGCAGTGCAGCTGTGCCAGCCAAGTCCAGGGCATGGCAGGGGCTGGGTGGAGCTGGGCCACCTTGTGGGGTGCTAATCCCCTGCCCTGTCTGCTGTCTAATCCTCTTCCCCACTTATGAGGTTACAGAAGTAGCCAGAGAGGCAGTGGAAATGCTCCCACCCCGAGTGCTGCGTTGTTCCCGCAGAAGGTATGCTCCAAGGCTCGGCAGCTTCCTGAGGAGGACATTTCAGGCCCAGGAAAGAGGGAAGGCAGGGGGCAGAAGGGGCAGATCAAAGGGGACAGGGCTGATAGCCAAGTCCTGGTGAGTCAGGGTGTGAGCCGGTGAGTACAGATGGAGTGGTGTCTGGGAGAATGAGCCCCTGCTTGCTGGGGAACCAATCCCGGCAGGCCCAGCTTCCTCGAAATGAATACCCTCCGTGTGGGAAGTAAGAGGGCGTGCAGGGGCCCCAAGCTGCCCTGAGAGGTCAGCACTATATGTGAAGCTAGAAGACAGTCTGCCCCACTGAAGCCCATTGTGCCCACTGGGTTGGCTGCAGGACCTCTACCTGGGCAGCCTTGAATGCCAACAGTTGTTCACACCCACCTGCTCTAGTGGCCTGGTGCCTTGCTCTGACCTCCTACTGCCCACAGACCCTGGGCAGAACCTCCTGGTCAATGATTGGCACTCGCATCTTCGGAGTACCAGGCACAGAAAACACCGGAAGTGTCCTAGCCAACAAAGTGACCAGGCAGGCTCACCCCGCATCACCCCAGTCCAGCCCCTTCCTCTGTGTGCCGGTGCTGGCCCTCTCCAACCGGTGCTCATTACAGACCACGGAAGAAGCAACACCTGTGGCCTCTGACCTTGGCACTGTTCTTGCCCAGGGCAGAATGGGTTCTTCCAGGCCAGCCGGAAAGGCAGGGATCGATCGGGGCACGCCGCAGGGGCCCAGCTCGAGGAGACAGGATGACCTCACCGTGGGGCTGTCAGGGAGCTGGCCTCCACTGCCTCCTCCAGAAGGCCGGCAGCTAGCCCTTGCCTCTGAATGTTCACCTTTCCTGGAAGGCAACCGGGCCAGACATGGGAGGGAGGGAGATGAGTAGCAGCATGGGCAGGTGGGCAGGATTTGCAGTCTCCCTGCCTCCTGCAGCCAGCAAGCTCCACACGCAGGTTTCAGAAAGGACCAGAGGAGGCTGAGCAGGAACACTCTTGGCAACCAGGAAGATTGTATTCTGCATCTCTGTTCTGGGCCTCTGGGGAAAGTTCCACGAAGGGAAACATTTTGTCCTGCCCTTCTGGTGCCCTGGGCAGACAGCTCTCTTGGGAAAACCAGACCAAGAGGACAGGCACAGTCTTTCAGGCCCGCAGACTTTGGCCACTAAAGATTTATGTGGCACCAGCCCCTTAACTTCCCTCCCTGAATCCTGGCAATCAGCCCGGAGGAGAGAA